CAGGTGTCCTTGCTGTTCTTGTGCACTGGCTTAGCAGGCTTCCTCAGCTTCAGAGAAAGTCCTAGAGTAGAGAACAGGAGTGGTCCATGGCCTGTACTTGAGGTGGAAAAAGTCTGAACCCACACAAAACTATCGACCTAGCACAGCTGTGGCTGCAATCAAGGTGGGCCAAGGGGACGTCATAGAAGTACCTGTTATAGACCGCACCTTACCCTGCTCAGAACCACTTGTCCTTGTATTAAGTTCATTGTCATTGTACCTTCACCATGGTGGCCAAAATCTTTAAAAAAAAAAAAAAAAAAAAAGCCTTTGTACAGGAGAGTTAGTACAAGCAGCAGCTCTGGTCCCTGCTGTGACAACTGGTCCTGAAGCCCCAACTCATACATTCGTCACCTCTCTGCTCCACCACCCTTTCTAGATCCCCTCATCCTAGGCCGGCGTCCGCTGGTCTGACTTATTTGCCTAGTGCTGGAACCAAACAGCACTGATTCATGGGCAGAAAGCAGAGATGGTGGATGAGCAGTCCAGAGAGACTAGACTGGCTCCATGAGGGAGTGGATTTAGAGGTAAGGGTGGGGAGCTAAAAATGGAATCTCAAAAGACACCTACATGTGGTTGGAGAGGATTCACCCCCTGGAGTCCCTAAAACAAAAACTGGGGGGAAATAGAGGCAGGGGAAGGGCACCATAAAATTAAAGTGCAGAAATGTCACAGAAGTTGCTAGAATAGTCTCCATCACATGATTCCCTTGTTCAAGACGTGGGTGTATTTCTTCACTGTTTATCACAGGCCGTAAAAGGAGTCTTGGCTACAGAGCGGCTGTAACTGCTAAACAAATGAATGTATCAATAGTAAATGGCAATTTACAATTCAAACCTTGAAACTCCTCTATAATGTGTTTTTTTTCTTTCTGTTTTCCTTAAGCAGCTAATAGTTGAATAATGACCCTCGGAAGCAATGGAATTGTAATTGGTGTTGGAGGTGGAGTTTGGTTCAAATCCCAGGATGACCAGATGCTAGACTGACCATGGCAGTGTCCAGTACACGTTCTTTTCCCTACCTGCTCCCTCCCTTTCCTGGGAATTCAAGTATAGTGGAGAACAAGGCTTTCTCCAGATGGTAGTTTTCCCCCCAAGGTGGTTTCCTTTTTAAATTACTATGTGCAAAGTATAGGGAGTTACTAGAGACCCAAGGATGAATTAAAGCAGGTTTTACTGTATAGGAATTTTGGAGTATGTTGGGGAGCCAGACAGAAATATAAATATCATGGGTAAGCATTGTATTTCCAAGAAATAATTATTTCTAAGGGGTGGGTAAGAATAGGGAGGTTTTAGGAAGAAAGTGGTACTTGAAATGGGCTTCGAAAGAGCAGAATTTCAGTGAAGGGCAAGGGTCTGTATGGTTGTGCTAACAGCCCCAGGATTAGTTTACAAAAAGTCTGGATTCTATGGAGGAGCACTGACAGCATCAGATTTATAACAATGTAACAACTCACTGTTATGCTCCTGGCTTTGGAAGCTTTTTTTCACCTGAGTAAGGAAATAAAATAAATGCACAGACACACACGAAGCAGGAGCCTTCAAAAAAGGAGAGATTACATCTTCTGCAGATTCTTCTGGCTACAACGTCTTCCTGTGGAATCCCAGGTAACAAGTGCTCTGAATCGCTCTTTAGAATTTGATCGATAGCAACAGCAGAGGGGGCAGCGTTCAAGAATGAAAAGAATATGATCAATGAGGACAGTAGTTAAGAGGTCCTGCATGATCTAGGTGCAATATCAAATTACATAGCTTCTATGTGCCCCAGTTAACCTTTAAATAAAAGGAGACTTAGGTAAAATAACTGTTAAGAATGACACTGGATGACGAATGCATGGCAAGCATAGCATCAAGTATCTGTGCCCTCAATTATATATTTAACAAATAAGTGGAAATGTATGTGCAGTAGTAAGTGTTTTCACCAGAGAGCACTCTCTGGCTGGCTGCAGACGATTAGCCACACCCTCCTAATCAGCGGTCCGCCTTCCTGGTTTCTGCGGAAAAAGCTGTTGAAAACTTCCTGCAACAAAGGCACGTGGTTTCACCCACTGTTACCCCTCCCCGGCACACCCAGCTCCCCCCGCCTCCCGCCCCCAACAATAAAATCATTGATCCTCAGCACCGCGACTCGCAGGGTGAGGGCTTTATTTTTAAATCCATTTGAAATGACCAATCAAAGGCGGCCACACGAATGCGCAAAAGCGGATTGGCTCACAGTTGCTGAAAGCAGCCACAATAGGTCTGGAAGCGATTTGGTCGACAAAACCGGCGAGTGGAAAAAGGGGTGGCAGCCCTGGACAATTTGGGTTGGAAAAGGAGCGCCAAGTCTCGGAAGCTGCACCAGAATCCGACCCTTTGAGGGGTGTGTTGCGCTTTCGGCTGGCAAGGTGAGCGTTCTGCGTGGGTCCTGGCTACTGCGGGGGGCGTGGGGGAGACGCTGGCTTTCTGCCCGAGGATACTGGCAGGGGATGCCTGTGGGATTGCTCTCCCTGGCCCTGAAGGTGCAGCGGCCCACCCACCCCACCTGACCCATCTGGGGCATCTGACCCTGGTAAAGAGGCGCTCCTACTAGTGTCCCGAGACCCTGCTCGGTCTTGAACTCTCACGTTGGGGATCAGTTTGTAAGGTAAAAGAATTGGAGATCAGCAGGTATTTCCCATAGGAACCAGTGGCTCATCTTTAATATATGGACGTAGGTCCTTTGTTGCTTGGAGGAGATGTAAGTTTGGGTTTTGGTCTGGGGGGCAACGGGTTGGTGTGCGTATTGTTCCAGGCGAGAGCATTTCTCTGTTGTCTTTCCCTTCATTAATTGGGACGCACCTGTGCGCCTGCCTCTGCTGTGCTATGAGGATGCAGGCGTAGGTGCCCCGAATCTTATCCTTGAGCTTGTTCTAGAGGAGCGGGCAGTTTTCATTGTCAGGCTCAGCGGCGGTGCTGTAGGCGGGAGCTGGGGATTCTGGCTGGAGAAGGGATATTCTGATGAAGGGAACGTGTAAAAACGGGCCTGCAGGGTGGGGGCCAGAGGAGTCACACGTCACACTAGCGCTTCCTCAGGCACTTTACGGGGTTGGTTGATTCGGAAACGAAGAGTGTCCTCCTTGTATCTGTGACAGAAGGAGCATTTCCTGGGAAGGAAGATAGTCCTGGAGATCCTCTTTGCAGGAACCTTGGACCTCCAGGGCTTTTCTTCGCCACGCCCCCACGCCCCGCCCCTTCCTTTGCCCCTTCCGTCTTACCTTTGAGGTTTATGTATGTTTTGGGTCTTTGTCCTCTGTGGCCCCATGCAGATTCTTGATGCCTTAATCAGTCTGCTGTGGTCAAAATTAGCTTGAGTCTAGTCGCAGCCTTAGCCGCTTCTGTCTAGCTGTATCTTCGAGTTTGAAATGGCAAAGCCATTTCACGCGTGCAACTTTCCAGTTGTCCTCGCCTATTTCCTAAGCCCACGTCCGTCAGCTTTCTAAAGGGCTCTTTGGAATATTTTGCTGGCTACGGCGTCGTGATGTAAGAATTTCGGTGCCTGGCAGAATTCCTGAGGCCCCTTACAGTGTGTGCCCCTGGGGTTTATACCATCATGCCGACGTCAGCAAGCTGCTGGGAGGTCGGAGTGGACAGAGCAGCCTCTGGGACAGCGAAAATAGCCTCTTGTTGGTGGGGAGGCTTGAGACACCGTTCAGGAGATTTTGGGGGAATTGGGAGTGGAGTTGGAGATGCTGTGTTCAAAGAACTGACATGTGGAAAAAATAAAATAAAATCAACCTGTCAGAGAAAACACAGCTTTCCAAAGCTTGATATCTAAATAGTTTTCCTAGACCTTTGCTTCTCTCTTGTAACTGTTGAAAATGTTTTTTTATCATTCTTAGTACTTTCACCTGCTATTCATTAGTTGTGCTGATTACAGAATGCATTGATAGAGTCGATTAAAAGACACCAGTAAAACGGCTGTGGACTGCATGGAGGGATTTCTTCCTCTTCCCCCATTGCCAAAATAAGTGGAAAATGGGTGCTATCTTTCACTTCAGTGCTCGAGGCTGGTGAATGATGAAGAGTTGCCAGGCTTTCCCAGCTGATTGAAATGTCTTCAGCTGTGACTGAGAAGGAGGTACGCCACTCGCCTCTTGGGACCACAGGCTGACGCAGAGATTTTAGAAAGTGTTCTGAGGCTTTGGGAAGTTGGCAGCGTGATTACACCCCCATCGTGAAAATGAGGAAACCAAGGCACAGAGCAGCTCAATGACATGCCCAAGGCCACACCTCTGAGAGGTTGCTGAGCTAGGATTTGAATCACTGCGGTTATGTGCCTATTTCCCATTCAAGGTCTGTGTGGAGTGTGACTTCACTGCATTTTGCAGTGATTTTAGTTCTCAGATGTCATCCAAGCTTTGTTCGTGCACGCATTAATTCAAAGAATGAGAAGAACTTGGAAGGCGAGAGCGTTCTTGGGTCATGAGAGACTGTGAGCAGGGGATGTGACCAGGTTGTGGATGTCCCAGAGGAAGGGGCTCAAAGAGGTGGTGGGAATGAAGGTCGTGAAGGGGGGAAGAAGAGTCTCTGCAAAATATCTTGTGTATTTTATTTGTTAATAGGACATATTTCACCCAAAAGCTTATGGCACAACGTTCATTTGTTTTTTAATGGAAGCAAACTGATCAGGAGACAGCAGGTAGCCCTGTAGGAAGTCAGAAAAGAGAAAGAGAACAACAGGAAGCAAGGGGATGCCATCCCAGCGTGTTCCGTACTTTTCAGTTGCAGTGAGTGGTAGCACCTTGGAGAGGCCGGGGAAGACAGATGCTCTCTATGCTTCGTTAAGGTTTGAAAGAAGGGGTTTTCAAATGTGATTTTAGACGTGGTTCTGTAGCCTCATTAGTCTCTGAGACTTTGAAGTGTCCTTGTACTCTGTTAAGACTAACGGTCTGGTTATTGTTTTCAGTTTCTTCACCAATCTTTGATCAATAAAAGAGCAAAATGAGCTGGGCAGTGGAAGAATGGAAAGAAGGCCTGCCCAGCAGAGCTCTTCAGAAAATTCAAGAGCTGGAAGGACAACTGGACAAGCTGAAGAAAGAAAAGCAACAAAGGCAGTTTCAGCTTGAAACTCTGGAGGCTGTAGTGCAGAAGGAAAAACAGAAGGTAGCCCTGAAACGCTGGGATTCACAACTGTCCACTCGTTCTCTGCCTGAATCACTTCACCTTGGCCTGTTCAACGGAGGGAAAAATGGTTTTGCTATATTTTGGTGGGAATGATCTCTCTCCTTTGTTGATTCTTTTTTTTTTTTTTTAAAGATTTTATTTATTTATTTTTAGACAGAGGGGAGGGGAAGAAGAAAGAGAGGGAGAGAAACATCGATATGAGAGATAAACATAGATTGGTTGTCTCTTGTATGTGCCCTGACGGGGGGCTGAACCCACAACCCAGGCATGTACCCTGATCAGGAATCAAACCCGCGACCTTTGCATTGCAGAAAAACACCCAACCAAGTGAGCCACACAGGTCAGGGCCTTTCTGAGACATTTTACTTTCAATTACCTGGTTTTCTTCATCCTCTGCCCTCCATTCTGCTCACCTGCTAACACTGTGGGGGCACAGTATAGAACACTTTATGATAAATGGCTGTCAGTTTTTGAGAGTAGACTTCTCACCTTGACATTCCCGGGCCTCATCTCTTCAGGAATAGTAAAGGAAAACTTCAACAGCACTTCTTTCTTACCTCTTTGTGTACCAGCAAAGTAGTGATGCAGTCACTGCTCTGAAATATCTTTGCTAGTGGGAGAATCTTTCAGTTCCTTACAGTTACTGGCTTCAGCAGTCCAACTTGAGAAGGACTAGCTAAGGGAAATAAGGGGGCTCATTTTTATTTTTATTTTAAGTTCTTGAAAGCATACGAAAGCCTCTCTTCATCGTGTGGGTACGTGTAGGCCTGAGCAAAGACAATAGAAGACATGACTTTGTAGACCTTTTCTCTCTAGAGACTTGAAAGCAAGGTCATAGAAGCCTCTGCGTTCCTCAAGCAGAGACATCGAGGTCATCACAGTCCCTGTCAGAAAGCCGGCCGTCCACGTTGGGCTCAGATTCACCAATAGCACCCGGTCACTTCACAAAGTAAGAGATCTCTTTCCTTTTGAACACTCCCCTCTAGGTTGAGAATGAAAAAGTGGAGGTGACAAACCTGAAGAGGGAGAATCAGAGCTTGCTGGAGGTATGTGAAAACCTGGAGAAGGCTAAGCAGAAGATTTCTCACGAACTTCAAGTCAAGGAGTCACAAGTGAATTTCCAAGAGGGACAACTGAGTTCAACCAAAAAACAAATAGAGAAACTGGAGCAGGAGCTTAAAAGGTAAGTTTCTGAATGGTGTTTATACAGATCTCTGTATATGTATTCATCAGACACGTTTATCTTTTCCTTTAACTGTGTACTTAATATACATTGTGATATTATTATTTCCTGTGGGAAAGAAAAATAATCTAAGGAAAATTGATTCTTATATACTTCAGTCCTATCATTGTATAACTCAGCACTATACAAATTCGTTAAATGGTTGCTCACTTCATTTGTTCATTCAGTCCATGTTCAGTTTCATGAACCAGACACTGTGTTGCTATGTGATAAAATAATAAATAGTCCCTAAACTGTCCTCAACCCAGTGGAGGTTGGAGACCAGGAAGGAATTTATAGTGGGACCAATCTATAGAGGTATAGGAGTTTTTGTTTTTGTCCTCAGTATTTGGGACGTAAATGCTGAAAAGGTGAATAGGAGAATGATTTAGGATTGGCTTTTGGCCAGGGTGATGGGGCAGGAGACAGGGAAAGGGTGAGGACATTGGGAAGAGAGCGGTTAGAGTCCGGGGCGGAGGGATCTAAGCTGGAAAGTTGAGAGGGAAGCAAAGTCGAGAAGAGGTTCCTCCTGAGATTTCCACCTGAGAGGGAGCTGAAGCGGTACATAGTCAACTTGCCAATTTCAGTGTCATGTTTAAGTATTAAGAAAAGTGCTTAATACTACTTTTCCATTTAAAAACTCCTAGAGGCATTATCAGAATAAATTTAGTGGGGCTTACACTGCTAGTTGATGAATAGTATCTTGTTCTGCTAGTGTAATTTTGTCAAAATAACAAGGAATGGTAGAAGCTAAAAGCAAAACAAACTTTAGGAAAGTGTTCCATTGTCCAGCCTGCAAGTGCCCACTCAGAAATTTAAAGAATACTTGAAATAACTGTAGAGTTACAGAAACACCTATAAGCATCTTATATAACCAAAGTACAATGACCGAGCCAGAAATAAGCACTGATTCAGTGTTGTTAACTACAGACATTATTAGGATTTGAATAGTTTTTCCTGTATTATCTTTTTTTCTGTTTCAGGATTTGATCCAGGATTCCACATTGCCTTTAGTTGATGTTTTATTAGGCTCAGAGATAGTTTTCTGATTTTGTTTCCAATCCACGTAGGGAGGTGGCTATCTGTAAATTGCATTTGAGAAATAAACATCTATCTCGTGGAGTTTTTTCTTGTTTGTTGCCTGCCGTGGCAAATTCCACGAGAGCAGGGATCTTGTCCGTCTTATTGGTGTGCGTATCCTCAGCAGCTGGCGATTGTAGGCCCTGCAGCTCTTGCGGAAGGAGTGAGTGAGGGACAGGCATTCCTTTGGAAGAGCGAGTGCTAGGGAAGGAGGGAGCTCACCTCCGTGTGCCGGGTAGTCATTTGAATGGAACGCATGTTTAGGCCGCAGGTTTTAGAAGCAGTGGTTTTAATAATTTAGACAGAGAGGTTTCTATTTTGAACATTTTAGTACAGGATACTTGTGTATGCGTTTGTATTTTTCACTGCAGAGTGCCGTATGTTAGCAATCCTTTGGTGGGTCTGCATTGCCCAGGGTTGTCCATGACACAGAGCACATGTGAAACGTTAGCGGTCTTATAATCGTTGTTTTCCATTGTTATTAGCTGTCACCGTTGTCATGGGGTTAGGAGAGCCGTGTAGCGCATTGAGTTTCAAATATTCTTAGTTTCTGTGATGTAGGGATATATGTTTATAAAAGTTTATAAGCTGTATAAACTTTACAGTATAACAACTATTAAGAGTATTGTTTTCTTCAGTATGAAAACTGTTAAAGGGTATAAATACTATATGAGAAAAAGTATTGGGTGTACTTTTGAAATTCTCACCGATCACCTCAAGTGCAGGGCAGGAACTTCTTTTCTTTTCTCCATCAGCGGCCCCTGATTACATTTCAGGAAGGTCTCAAGGAACTTTTGTTGAACCATTTGAAATATTGATTAAAAAACTGTTGCATTTTGGCAAACTCATGTAGTTAAACCTAGTAGAAAACATCTTATTTTAGTGCTTTTTTGGTGGTAGTGGTGTGTGTTGTTGTCCCTAAGAGAAAGGAGAAATAAATGTTGATAAGAAACAATAGCAGTATGTGCTTTTTAAAAAATATTTAAGATAAATGAACTTCTTTTAAAATGAAAGTATAGGGAAAGGGGATCTTAGAGGTAAATTTTGAGACGGAAAAGAAACACTGATTTTGCGAGGCTCTTGAAAATTCATCTGCAGAATCACCAGCCTTGTGACAGGTTTGGCAGCCTATAGACCTCCGCAGTCTGATGTAGTTGGTTCCAGGTGGCCGTTGAGCCCTTGAAATGCAGCTAGTGCCAAGTGAAATGTGCACCAAAGTGTGAAGAGTTAGTAAATACAGAGAGAGAAAACAAAAAGTTGTATTCCTCACACGCTGAAATGCCAGTATTCTGAAAACATTGATTTAAATATGAAGATGAAGATGGAATTCCCATATTTCTTGTTCCTTTTTTCATCGTAATTGAACATACTTCCTGGGCAGGGCTGCCACCTACGGTGAGCGTGGATGTGACAGATTGGTGTGCTGAGTGGTCATCATCAGCCCTGGCGTTGCTTCTTCCGAGATGAGGCAGGGGGAGCGAGGGCCCTCCGGCGCTGTGTTCACTGTGTTCACTGTGTGTCCAGTTCACTGTGTGCTTTGAGGGCCGCGTCCCCGGCCAAGGGAACGGTGCGCATCAGCCGTCCTTGTAGGGTCCTCATTGTATTTCTGTGCGAAGGTAAAATCAGGCGAAAGAGGCAAGAATTGAGTCTTCTTTTAGGCTGTTTGATTCTGAAAAAGGTGTTCAGAACTTAGATGGCAGGCGTAGTCTGTACTTATGTACACTGTATCATTTATTTCCCCCATTTCTTTGTAACTGTTTTCAGCCATGTATTCGTATGTGCCGTTAACTTGACTTTTACATGTTTAAATAATGCCATCAAATACAGGGTGCATGGATCACGTCTGTGCTTTGTCCTGAGTTAATAAGCTAAGTAATGCCATCCCGTGTTGCGATTTTCAGCCGATGCTTCAAGGTAGCAGTTTTTCCTTATGTTTCTGAGTTCTGGGTTCTTTTCTGTTCCTGTCTCTTTCTTTGGCGTAGAATATAAAATTTCCTTGGAAACTAGCCCCAACCTCCCTACTCTTTCTTGTGCTATTGAAGTCCTGAGAGATGTTCTTTGTAACCTTTGTGACGTTGTAAGCATTGGTTTGTTTACCGAATGAGACTAAGTTCCTTTGAAGACAGATCACTGAGTTATATATGTCTGTCCTATGTTTTTTGGATAAATGAAGTGGTAAGAATTTTCAGAGGGTGATTTTTATAAGCTTAATTCCTCTCTGGGAACAGTAGGGTGTTATCTTCCTGTGGCTTTTGCGTTGATTTGGCATCCTCCTGTGTCCTTTTCCTACAGATGTAAATCTGAACTTGAAAGAAGCCAGAAAGCTGCACAATCTGCACATGTCTCTGTGAATCCATGCAATACACCACAAAAATATTTTACAAGTCCAATAACACCAGTTCAGTGTTATACCGGTAAGGTGTTTTCCATTTCACAGAAATAGTACTTTTATGAAGATTTCAGTTCTGTGAAAGAAACGAATTAATAAAACTTTGAATCAATTTCTAATCTAGGCACTTAAAAAATGCAACTACTTGCTATAACATAAACATTTGTGCATCTGTTAAACTATATTGAGCCATCAGGTTAGTTTCTATAGTGTTCACTTAATTATTATCTTATTTATCATTTAGAGATTCCACCAAGTTGTTAGCAGTAGTCATAGTGAAGCTTTAAAAACTTAGCTTATGTCTTAGGAAAATGCATCCCCTCATTAAAGTGTCTCATATCCACGTTCAGGGACCTTGATGCCTTCGGTGTCTTCACTCTTGCCAGCCCTTTCTAAATGTCTGCGGAAACACGTTCAAATGCGCAGACTCACTGGGCAGCTTGTACTTTTCCCTTTATGCCTCTGTGGTGTGTTTCAGAAATCATTCCATTTCAGACTATCGAAACCACCTGTGCTTCTATGGATTTTGATATTGGAATGATTTGATCACTATCGGTTGCCTTAACTAAAATGTTCTTCCTGGTGTACTAAGAGACTGATTTCTGAACTCCCTATTATAATTCTTGATCTGTGACTTCCTTCACAAAGTCAGTGATCAAAGTAAAACTGTATCTCCTTGTCTGTGTTTAGGTTCCAAATATGAAGATCTAAAAGAAAAATATAATAAAGAAGTTGAAGAACGCAAAAGATTAGAGGCAGAGGTGAAAGCCTTGCAGGCAAAAGTAAGTTAATTATGGGCCTTATAGCAGCGTGCAGTTGAGAAAGTGCTTTTCTATAGGCTAGAAGAGGGCTCCAGGGAATTGTGCTTCCCGTAGAACTGGTGCATTTTTCTTACGCTGAGAATATGAAGTTCCTCGCTCCCTGCTTCCCTTGATGGGTTGCCCTCCCATATACACCACGACCGGGGATGGAACCCGCAACCCAGGTATGTGCCCTGCCCGGAAACTGACCCCGCAACCTTTTGGCGAACGGACGACGCTCCAACGCAGTGAGCCACCTGGCCAGGGCAGCGATGATAGTTTGTAAGTTTAGAAATAGGTAAAGAGTGAATGAAAGAGAATGGGGAGATTACTGTCTCCCTCAGTGTTCATCGAATTCCATGGAAACGGCAGCCAGCCCTCGATGTGCCTGTTAAGATCCGAGGAGAAGGAACAGGGGTGGAGAGGGTGGGCACGGACGCCTTCCTGACACTGGCTGTGGCGCCTGGAGGAACCTGCTCCGTGTGCCGTGTTCCTGAGGGATTGTGGGGATGGCCGCCGTGGGCGCGGGACGTGAGTGTCCGATCCTGAAAGGTTCATTTCCGAGGAGGGTGTTTTCAGTCATCTCCCCAGTTGTATGAAGTCAGTTGCTGACAGGGGTTCTGAAGTCCATTTGGATGCGTTCCCATGGGCAGAGAGAGGTGGGTAAAGACATTTGCTTCGGGTCGACAAAATACACCCAATGCGTGTTTGAGAAACCTCTCCTTCTGGCTGAGGGACTGACTCTGAAAATGCCTGGTGCCTGTGGTATTTTCCTTTCCTTTTTTGCTCACATGATACTATTTGTTAAAAAAAGAAAAGTCCATGTGGGCACATTGCCGGTGTATTTCCGCACAAGAAGAAGTTGGTAAGATGGCAGAGTTTCACAAACAGCGGGAGGCCGAGTCTCTAAGGAGATACCTTAAATGTGGAGGCCCAAAAGCCCGTATCAGAGATGTAACCATTTTCATTCCTTTTGTGCTTTTCACCGCCGTTGGGGACGCCCCGGGGTTTTCTTAGATGACAAAGGCATTGCCTCTCCAGATGAGCGGAAATGAATGAATAATTCTGTAGCTCATCCTGGAAACGTCTTGTGCTTTGCTGTCCACTCCGGTCATGTGCACCAGTCCTGCCCCTGACATTGGCTTCCAGGGTCACGGAGTGGCGGCACGTGAGTGCGTGGGCATTGCACCCGTCCCCGTGGCGGGAAAAGCGCTTCAGCGAAGAGTGCAGCGGAGCGTCTCCAGCCCTGGCTTTGCTTGTCAGAATGGAGGTGGGAAGAAAAAAAGAAGGGTTCAAGGCATTCGAAAAATCCCCAAGTGTCTATTCCAGAACATAAAGTACCTTCTAGGACGTTTGGTGTGGGGGGCGTGGTATGGTGAAAAGTAAAATTATTGGAAGAGTTTTTTAGGGTAATATTGAAAAGTTTGTCTTAAAGATTTCATGTGTTAGTTTGAGAGAGAGGGTAATGGAGGGAAAAAGAGGAGAAAAACCTAGATGTGTGAGACATGTAGTGATAAGTTGGTTGCCTCTCGCATCCTACACCCCAGGCACATGCCCTGACTGGGAATCAAACAACTGACCTTTCAGTTCTGAGGCTGGCACTCAGTCCACTGAGCCACACCAGCCAGGGCTCATACTCAATGTTGATTCTCTTTGTACAATGCTATGGAGGGAGGAGGGACTGGTGGTGACAAAACGCAGGCCAAGGAAAATGAAATGTCATTATTCCAAGGGCACTGCCGTGTTTAATGGAGTACTTGAGGGATGTGGCGGGAATAGCCGAACGGAGCTACCATGGAATAGCTTGGGCCTCAGCAGCACTGGCTCAACCCTTCACCACTGAAGTGTGACCATAAGAAAGTGTTCCCGGGTTTTGGGACTGAGGAGTTCCTGTGGCTTGGGGACCGTCCTTTCCCGGGACCCAGTGGCAATGCTAACCTGTTGGCATGGCTTTCTGTTCTCCGTGAAAAGAGTCTTGAATACGATGATTTCTAAGAGCTTCTGTCTTTACAGAAAGCAAACCAGGTCATTCCAGAGAAGATCATGAATCACCGGGACATCGCCCGACAGCAGGCCTCATCGTCTGTGTTCTCATGGCAACAAGAGAAAACTCCAAGTCGTCTTTCTTCCAGTGCTCTCCCGAGTCTTATGGGGAGAAGTTTCTCCGCCTGTCACACTCCTGGGGAAGAGGTAGCGACTGCTAGCAGATCAGCTTTGCAGGCGGGGCAGAGGGATGCTGATAGCAGCTGCTGCAATCATTCTAGGTGTTCTCCTCTTTCAGGTCAACTAAAAGCCCAGAATCAAGGTACTTTTTTGAGCTAAATCAAATGTACATTTTCCTGAGATAATTTGTGAGGCAATTCCAGGCATTTTGAGTCCTCGAACGTGCTCATGGGTTTGGGTAGCCGCCCCTGTGGTCAGCATCCCAGGCTGGTGATGTGGAAATGCTGTCTCTTTGATGATGAGAAAAGGTGTGCCAGGTTTGGAGGGTCCCTTTCTTTGTCTGGAGAAGCGGGGACCCTGAAGCTTTCCAAAGGAGGGTGAATGCCTTTGTCTTGTCCTTCCGGAAGCAGCAGGAGTAGGATGGTGACAGTGGACACACCCCACGCCTCTCCTCTGGCTCCTTTGGTGCCCGGGATAGAAGCCTGTGTCGTGGCCACTTTTGGCCAGAGGTGTGACATGCGTCCTCAGAACAGCTTTGCTCTCTGCTCTGCCAACTTGTCCGTGCGGGAGCAAACCTGTACCCTTGGCCGTTGTGCCAGGCTGCAGGTGGCAGCCAAGGGTACCAGGCGGTGGTCTGGAATGTACTCTGCAGGCTATGATGATGTCCAGTGCTCTGGTGTATGGAAAATGACCGTCAGTGTTCACTGGTGAGAGCCATCACGCTGCCAGTGGGGAAAATGATAGAAAAGTATTGTTAATTTTGGTAGTGGAGGTTCACACTGTCTTGATCTTTACCGGTGAAAAAGGTAGTGGAGGATACAGGAGGGTGAATTTTTCACTGCTTCACTTCTTTGCTTTGATATTGCCACAAAACAAATATCAGTCTGCCAGTGTGTAAACCACAGTGGGGATTTAAATCAGGGTGTTTTATGTGATAAACTTTTTGCAGGCTCATTGTGATAATATTCACAATTTGAGAACAGCATTTTCTTCCCCGAGTTTCTTTGTGATATCCAGAAAATGGGTTTGTCCTGCTTTCTGCAGGATATTTGACGGTAATTAACAATAGACTAAACATTGAAATTCAATCCAATTAAAGTACCTTCTGTGTTTAATGTGCATTGACTTATATTGGTCTGATCAAAGATTTCAGAGCAAAGTAACATAATCATGTATTCTGAATTTAGTTGTCAATTTTTTTGTGACTAGTATATATTAATTGAAGTGTGGGTTTTGTTTGTGGTTTAAGAGCTAAGGAGCAAGATTGGTGAGTTGGAACTGCAACTGCAAGGACAAGAACAAAAAATGAAAGGCCAAGTGAATAAATGTCAAGAGCTACAGCTCCAACTGGAAAAAGCAAACATGGAACTGAAGGAGAAAGAGAAGGTTTCGACGGAAAGGAGAGAAGCACTAGTGAGAATGACAGCACAGTGTGACCAGGCGTCCACCAAGGTACTTGTCTGTTCATGAGGTTTTGAAAAATCTCCGCTTTTCTCCATGCCATTTTTGCGAGAGCATACTTGACAGTTACATTTATGAGGTAAATGATGTAAAGCGCTTTGTTAGTGTATTTTAGGCAATACTAGTGCCATTGAACTGGTAAGTGCTTTAAGAGATGGGTAGATTTGGGGTCAATCTTGGACTGCACATTTTCCCAGCCAAGGAGCTTGAGCAAGTCTTTCAATCCTACATCTCAGAGGGCGGAGAGGGAAGGTCATGGATCTGTAGCCTCTGGCACATTTTCTGGCCCATGGAAGAGACTTAAAGTAATGGAGCTTTAAAAGGTGTTCAAGAATTAGGATGGAATGCAATTGATCTACTCTTGAGATGCAGTATCCATGTAATCCTAAAGATCCAATGAAGGCCTGTTATTTGAGGGTTTTTTGGGGGGTGTGTAGGGGGGTGGTTGTTGGTTTGTCTCCAACCTATCTCTCTAGTCTTCTGTTTTCTGTTTGTTTATTCACTGACTCATTCGACAAACACTTATAGACTGCTTCCGGTGTCAGGCACTGTTCTAGACCTGGGGATGCAGCAGTGAGGAATTAGACAAAACTCATCGCCCTTCTGGAACTTCATCGTAACGCAGGATAGAACATTGATAGAGAAGTCACAGATAGAACGATGTATTGAGGACAAGTGTAGGTAAAAATGAATTATCTTTTACCTACACAAATAGGACCACACATACCTATTTGATTAGGTCTCCTGGACCTAATCTCTCCCTCTGAGCCCCGTCTCCTTCTGCGTGGCATACCCTCCTCCTACAATACTCTTGAGCGGCTGCTCGTCCTGTGAGCGCTTTCCCTCTCCTCTTAGTGGGGTGAGATGTTTTCCCCAGGCATCCCCTTGTTTGTGTTCGAGTCCTGGGGTTCCCATGCTTGGCTCATTGTCAGAATCACAGAGAACCTTGCACATTTCATCCTGTTAGACTTAAGGGATTTACTTTCTGTAAACTCTAGAAATTTCTAAGGCAGTAGGTCAATACCAATGTACCATATACATCTTCCTGTATGTCTGATCTATTTCCTGGGGGCAGATTTTTTCTGTCTTTTTAAAAAACTAATCTTTTTAATTTTAAAATAATTGTAGATTTGTACGTAGATTTATGAAATAATGCCTTGTTAACATGGATGATTACATTGATTGCTTGTTAAATATTTGCATGAGCTTTGTGTCATCAGAATAAGCACTTCTTGGCCTGGTGTATAATTCTTTTTATAGATTTCTGAATTTTATTTGCTAATAATTTGTTAAGGATTTTTGTTGCTATACTCAGGAGAGATCTTGGTTAGCTATTTTTTTTTTTGTACTGTCTTTGGTATTTGTTTCAGAGATAATTTATAATAATTTTTACTTCAGAACATGAGCTGGGAAGCATTCCCTCCAATTTTTTGAAGAGGTTTTGTGTTATTTATGTTTTGTAGAATTTGTGTTATTTCTTTATAAATTTTGTAGAATTCTCTATAAAAACATCTAGGCCTGGAGATTTTGTTTTTTGAGAGTTTTCAAATTACAAATTCCATTTAAAAAAATAGTTACAGGTCTATTAAAATAACTTATTTCATATTGAAAGAGTTGGGATAGTTTATGTATTTAGAGGGAAGTAGTAGTTCATTTCCTCTGAATTGTCAAATTTATATATGTAGAGTTGTATGCAGCATTTCATTATTCTTTGAAGTCTGTGTGTCAGCATACTCTGTTTCTGATATTTGTATGTACTCTTTTTTCTCATTGTCAGTCTTGCTAGATATGTGTCACTTTTATTGTTCTTTTCTTGAGTTTTTTAACAAACCAGCTCTTTGATCCATTGCTTTTATTACTTTTCTGTTTTCGATTTCATTGATTTTTGTTCTATTATTTTCATTTGCTTGCTTTGGGTTATTTTGCTGCTGTTTTTCTAGGTTGTTGAGGTGGAGAACTTTGATTATAAATTTGAGACTTTTTTCGTTTTCTAATGGAGATATTTAATGCTATTAAATTCCCTCTCAGTCCTGCTTTAACTGTGTTCTACACATTTGGATATACTGTATTTTAATTTTTATTCAGTTCAGTGTATTTAAGGTTATTTTTTCCTTTGACATATGCATTACCCAGAAATATTTTGTTTAGTTTCTAAGTGTTTGGAGATTTTCCTCTTTCTGTTAATGATTTTTTGTTTGATTCCATCATGTCCAGAGGACATACTCTGTGACCTTAAGTCCTTTAAATTTGTTGAAGTTTGTTTTATGGTGTAGGGTATGGTCTATCTTGATATATGTTTTCAGGGACACTTGGAAAAAAAATTGTTATTTGGCAGTGTTCTAAAACTTATTACCTCCTGTTGGTTGATGGTGTTGTTGAATTCTAAATCCTTGCTGATTTTCTGTCTAAATCTATCAGTTGTTGAGACGGAGATGTTGAAAATATCCTATAATTGTTGATGTGTTTATTTTTCCTTTCAATTTTATCTGCTCCTCCTTGTCATGGCTTGTAGCTCCATTGTCAGGTGCATATACATTTAGGATCACTATACCTTCTTGGTGGATTGACCATTATATAATATGCCTTGGTGTCTCTGGTAAGTTTCTGTATTCTGAAGTCTACTTTATCTGAGAGTAATACAGTCATTACGGCTTTCCTTTAATTAATATTGGTACAATACATTTCTTTCTGTCTTTTTACTATCAGCCTCTTTATATTATTCTACTTGTAGGCAGCATATATTTCAGTATATTTTTAAATCCACTTTTTTACTATCTTTCTTTTCATTAATATATTTAGAGCTTTACATTTAATGTAGTCATTTATAGGCCATGCCTAAACTCTGCTGTCTTATTTTTTTGTTTTCTATTTCTTTTCAGTTTTCATCTGTTTCCTTTTTTCCTACTTTGCTATGTGTTTAACATTTTTGGGAATTCCATTATTATTTAACTATAGTGTTTTTGAATGTGCTTTTTTGTAGAGCCTTTAGGTATTACATTACATGTACACACAAACTTATCACAGTCTACTAGTGTTGTCATTTTACCAGCTCTAATAAAGTATAGAACATTTATTTCTCTTTCCATTTATTATCTTATTCTATTTATAATGTAATTGTACGTATTTTCTGTATATGTATATGGAACCATATGATACATTGTTGGAACGTTCGCTTCAACCGTCAAACCTAGTTATGAAACCTGAAGAAGGGAATCCAGTTAAATTGCTCTATCCGGCCTTCTCCTTCCTTCCCGTTTCCTTTCAGATGTGCTCCTTTCCTCATTTGCTTCTGGTGAGAACTTCGTGTGAGTGTTCTGCGAGCCCCAGGGTGCCTTCCGTTTTCATTTCTGTGAGAACGTCTTGATTCCCAGGTCATTCCTGGACGAGAGTGTGGCCGGGGATCCAGGTTCTGGGAGGACAGCGCTGTTCTCTTGACACCAAAGTCCGGTTTTCCCCTTGGGCCCCGAAGCGGCCAGTCAGTCTGTCTTCTTTCCTTTTCGAGCTTTGTGATGCGTGTTTGGGTGTCACATGCAGGCTATGGAGTTGTTCTTGACGGGAGGGATAGGGAAATGTCTACGTATTTTTGACTTTGTGGATGTAGTCGTGTGGGTTCCTTCTTATCTCTTCGCCTAGTGCAGCGCTTCGTCGCCCAGAGAACTTGTGGACCAATACTGACTGGATGGCTGAGGCCGCGGTGCAGGGGCGGTGGGGCCGTGGCCTGCTCTGATGCGTGCAGTCACGTCTTATGCGGTCTGAGTTGGTGTTTGAAGTGAGAAAGACTGGGGTTTGAGTTGTGGCTCTGCCACCTCCCAGTCCTGTTGCTTTTACAGCTCTTCACTTGTGAGCCCCATTCCCCAATCAATTCAATGGTGTGAATAAGGCCTGTGCCATGGGATTGTTGTGGAGATCGACGTCGTTTCTCTCGAGGCGTCATCCTCGTGCTGGAATGCGTGCTGGGTGTTGCTGACATCAAGTCATGCATTGAACATGCTCTTTCTTGAACTGCCATGAGAATTCACCGTGAAATGGAGCACATTTCAGCCAACCCACACCGTGCTCTTTGGTGCTCAGAAGACGTTTCTAGTGTGCTTGTCTTCCAAGTGCTTATGGCCCACGTGGGGTCCAAAGGTGTCGGAGTCATGTGGAAACAAAGCTGTGGGCCTGCAGCAAGCCTGGAGTTCCGCACGCACATGTTACAGACGGAGACATCAGTCCTAGAACGCTGAGGGTCAGGGTTGTGTGCTAGGTATTTTCGAGGACTGGAGCTCCGGACGCTCCTTGAGAACATGAAACAGCGTGATACCTAGTGGGCAGCTACTGTTACACCATTGTGTATCATCAATGCCAGGATGTCACTTTAAAAATATTAAGTAAAATATAAGTAATACTTCCCGAAAGCTCTTTGGCTCTTTGTTCGCCCAGTGTTCCCAATGAGAAAACATTGATTCTGAGATCCTTTAATGAATCAGTTTGAAGGATGCCCAGCAGAGGGAGCCAAAGGCTCATTCATCTACAATACAATGTGTCGGTATTTTTTTCCCTGAGATTGCCAAACATAAAAAATTCTGGTCCACTTAGGCAGTAATTTCTATCTGACTTGCTTACTGCTGTATCCCCAATACTTAGCACAGTGTTGGGCATATAGCAGGCTTCCTATAAATATTCACTGAATTTATATTTATTATAAAAATGTTTTGTAATATTTTTCCTTGGGGATTTTAAAATTCAGGAACATTAAGGATAATGACAAAGATGTCTTAATGTACAAGGCAGTGGGTTGATCGGAACCATTGGCTCGCCAGTGTCCTTTTTGATTAGGTGTTTTTAAAGATCTGCTCTTTGTCAAACCATTCAGTCACTGATGACGAGCTTTGCTGTTTGAATCTTTGCTTGGTGAGTAACTGGTGTTGGACTGGTCTTCTGCAAAGCATTACGTCGTGTTTTCTTTTCCTCCGAGTTGTCTGTTAAACTTGCAGTCTTTTTTTCGTTCTCCATGAGAGTATGAGGATTCTCAGGGCACTGCTTTAGGAGAGAGATGTGTCGACTTGGGGCAAATTTCCTTGGACCAGGCAGTTCTCTCCCAACCCCGGGAAGTGTTCTTACGCCTCCCTGGACGTTCCGAATTGTTGTGTGGGTGCCGCTTGGAGATGCAGACACGTGCGGATGAATGAGGAACAGGTTTCAGTCCTTGATGATTTCAGACTATTTGGTTGCAATTTTGTTTTAGAAGAGCATCCTCAGTTTTGATGGAGTTCACGTGGGAAGAGCTATGGGAAGGGAAATTGGCTACGCGAAGGCGAAGGAAGGGTGTTGGTGTCGCTCATGGCGGCCGGCGAGAAACCAGCGGTGATATTCCCTGGAGTGCCGTGAACCTCCCGCAATGGAAAATGGCGCAGCGAGAGCAGTGTGCAAAGACGCCTTTTGATATTTACAGTCCCTCCCCAAATGTATCATGCTTGCAAGACACGAGCCCTCGAGAGGAAGGAGACCCAATTATTATTTTAGAGCCTCCAAATTACACAAGTCAACATCACTGCATTTTACCCTAACCTATTACAGGCAAATATTAGATGAATCTTTATTCAGACACACCGATTTTTTTTTTTGTTTTTTTAATACTGCCAATTAGGGAGTATTTGAATGATCTAAGCCTTTACATTCTTTCTGGTATGTCCCAAACATAAATTTTATCTGTACTAAAATAATTACTGTATTTTTCCTATATGGTTAATAGTTTTAAACCCAGGTTTTTATGAAATAGAAATGTCAGAACAGAATGCTAAACTTGAACCAGAACTTGGGACTAATTTCTCTCATGCTGCAAATATTACTTCTTTCCTCGACCAAGTTTGTCTTGTAATGCACATTTTTCTTTGTTGTTAGTGTGGTGTCCTGGAAGAAAAACTGAAAAAACTGAGTGAAGATTTGAGCTGTCAGCGACAGAATGCCGACAGTATCAGATGTTCTCTGGAAGAGAAACTGAAGGTAAAAGAGAAGGCATTTCAAGAGGTAAGGTGCATGGATCGACGTGGGTTTGTCTGAGGCGTCCCAGTGTCCTCATTTGAAACAAGGAGCCGCGTGTCATCATTTGGGAAGTTTTACTAGGAAAAGGCTATGTGAGGAGAAGGTCTCTGTGTTTTCCTTCCTACTTTTGATTGGAGGAGGGACCCAGCAGCCCGTGTGTTCCCTTTGAGCCCTGTGTCCTGATTAGTTTGCGATTATTGTTCTGAGAGGGAAAAGGTCCCATGTTTGCTCAGATGCCCTCCTGTTGTGAAGGAAATTGTTTCCCAATGTCTGTCTGGCTTGAAAGCCTGTGGCTTGGCCACTCCAGGAGAAGAGTAGTTGAAGGAAGTGGGGAAAGACGCCGGCAGACAGGTTAGGGCGGCCAGCGAGGTGAGCCGGCCTGAGAGCGTGTCGGGCGGGGCAAGGTCTCCGAACTTCCAATGGGAGCGCCTCAGATTGGGCCTCCTCTTGGTCTGGCGAAGCCTCGCATATCCATTCGGCCGTCTGTGCCTTTGCTGTGTCTCTCACCGGATGTCCTTACAAAGCATGGTCAAGATGCCGAGAAGGACCAGAAGGAAGCGGCTCTGCCTCCTGGAGGATTGTAACTGATCGTGCACTTAAATTTTCTTTTAATTAATTTTGTTTTAATTCTGGTTGACATTTACTATTCTATTAGTGTCAGGTGTACAGCTTAGCAGTTAGACACTTATATAAGTGACAGAGTGATTCCCTGGTAAAATAAGTATTTCAATATGGTAGCTATTTTATCTGGAGCAAATAAGGTTCCAGGCATTGTGCTATTTCCTGAGTGAAAGGGGCGACTTAAGACCATGGGTTTTTGAGTCTAGAAGGGTGGTTTTCAACCAAGGGTGATTTGTTTTTCCCCCTCATCTGAGGACACACCATTGATTTAGACAGAGGGCATGGGGAAAGGGGGGAGAGACAGAGAGAGGAGAGAGAATCATCGATGTCGGAAAGAATTGTGGGTGATTGGTGGCTTCTCGCATGTGCCCTGACCTGGCACCGATCCCGTAACCCAGGCGCACGCCCCTTCTGGGAATCGAACCAGTGACCCTTGGGTTCACGGGACATTGCTCCAACCTACTGAGTCAGTCTGGCCAGAGCAAGTGGGGGTGATTTTGTTTTCTTTCCAGGGATTATTTAGCAATATCGAGGGACATTTTTTCTTGTCGGAAGTGTGCCAGCGGACTGGGGGACTACGAGCATTTAGTGGCTAGTGGCCAGGACTGCCGGTCACTGTCTTTTAGTACGCGAGAGTCCCTTGGAGAAAGCACTGTCCCCAGCCCAAATTAGGAGTGGTAGCACAGCTGTCAGTACGTGGCGTAGCAGTAGGTTGGTAGAAAACCAAAACACAGCCACGGAAGACTCACAAGCACACATGCACGTAAAGGAAAGCGAGTGCAGATGGTACTGCGGTATCCGTATGCGATTGTCCAGGTTGATAGGTGACATACACTTTGTATCGTTCTCAGTCCTAAGTGGTGTCTGGTATTTGCCCTTTGACTCCCCTTTGGAGTGCATTCGATGTGGCGGGTGAATGGTGACGGTGGCAGGTCAGCTGTGTTCTCCTTGGGCCCTGGATCCTCGGAAGAGAGAGGACCGATTGAAGAGTGGGGATGCGGTCAAAGGGCGGACCCCTTCCCTGGCCGTGGGAGAGGGGGAGTTGACGTCTGGCGCCTGGACTCAGGCTGATGCTGTTTCTCTGCGCGTGGGTGGTCCGCTGGGCTCCCGGTTGTGGCCGCCTCCGTCATGGCCTAATCCGTGGGACGTCCGTGTCACCCTGGCATCCGCCTGTGAGCCCTCATCAGTGGGAGACGTGTGACTTTTGCTTTCCAGGAGCTCTCCCGACAAGAGCGCGCCTTCCAAAGCCTGGAGCGAGAGAGTGCGCAGGCGAAAGGCAAGCTCTCGGAGGAGCTGCAGCGGGTCAGGGCCGCTCTGGGCGCCCTGCAGGCGCAGCTGGAGGAGGTAGGCGCCCTCCCTGCACCCCCTCTGCGCTTCCCTGCACATGTGTGTTCTGTCCCTTGACGTCCCCCCCCACAGTGAAGACTCCCCGCTCCTGTCTGCGTGTGGGCCTTCTGTGCTGAACCCGAGACTCTGGGCGCGTGCCTGACGTCTCCTCTGGGCGTTTCCAGCAGGCGACTCACCGTCTGGCCTTAGTCCCGCCACGGCAGCCGTTTGTTCAGACCCGCTCCTTCCTTGGCCTTTCCCATCCCAGCAACACCCTTTCCGGTCTTCACGTGGCTCAGGCCAAAGACTCCCTGTCCTCTTCAACTCTCATTCTCTTGTGCCTCAAAGGTAGTCGTTAAGACTCTGCCTACTCTACCTTTATTTATTGACAGGCCCGTTCATGTAAGTGTATTGATGTATATGTGTGTGCACATGTATATTTCTCTGCATGGGTGAGTGGGTATGTGTGTGTACATTACACAGAGCACATTTAAACTCTTTGTTAAAACACAATCTATTTAAAGTAAACATTTAATGGAAGATGAGTATCAGGCCCGCTCTCACAACCATTGCTCTTGTCAGGACAGTGTCATCAGCCACCGCAGAAACTCTTCATGTGCTACATACCTCCCTGCTAAGAACACAGGTGACTTTAAGTCTGTCTGTGTTTTATATTGAATGTCTCTACTTATCACCACATCTATGGCTGTGTTGGGTCACGACCGCGGCGTCTCCCACCTGGGTTACTGGCCTTGCCTCCTGACTGTTTCCATGCTCCGCACTTCTTCCTCAGTCTCTTTATAACCAGCGGCCAGAGGGAGGCTTTCAATGTGCCAGTCACAGCATGTCCCTGTACTGAGAGCCCTGTGCCCGCGCCCCATGTCTGTTGGAGTGGGAGTCTCAACCCACCCTGAGGGCATCAGTTCTTTAATGCAGTGACTTTACCATTAGTGAAGAAGACGTGGTTATTTAAAAAGTAGAGAACAGAAAACTAAGTTTGGCCTTATATTTCTCTTTGTAGGTCTCATCAGGAAAGCAGCAGCTAGAAAAAAAATTGGAAGGGTGTAAACAAAATTTCGGCCGAACCGAACAGGCGTTGCAGGCGAGTCAGACCAGGGAAGAGGAGCTGAGGAGGAGCTGTGAGGTAAGTGAGGAGCAGAGCCGAGCGTCCGTCAGCTTCTGTTCAGGACGCAGTGACAGGGAATCTCTACACTGTTTTTCAGGAGCTTGTCACGATCATATCATTTTCTATTTATTTTCCTGGAATTACGTCCAAAGTGTTTTGTGTGTCACCAGTGACGTAGAACACAGTGCTTTTTTCTTTCACTTTCTGTTGTGATATAATTAGCATTCATAGCACTGATAGGAAAATATGACTAGAATGAAGAACAGACCCTACTCTTTGTTTGAAAGGTTCTTTTAGACCACCTGGGAGATGGAAGAATGTAAGGAAACAAGGGATTTTCTAAATGGAAAGAAAGTAGGGGCTGGGGGTTTAATTTCAGTCCCTTTCCCAGGGTTGACTTAGGAGTCCTCAGATTTGAAAACCTGGTGGAAAGTCAGTGATTGAAATGAGCAAACATAATGTCAGATGAAGAGGTTTTAGATTCTCTTTCTGTCTCTAATTATGAATAAGTACGAACAAGTTAGCACGCTGATAGGTTTTGGATGGTGAAATAGTGTGACAGTTGTAATGAAATTTTCCTTGTTTGTGTTTTAAAACTGATATGCAGCTCATGATGAGAAATTATCAGTGGTGGCAGTATGATTTAATGGCCCAGAAGAGGGTAAAGTTACCATTTCATATGAAAGTGAATGGAAGGTTTAGATCAAACTGCTCGTCCCACGTCAGCTGCCAGCCCTGGAAAACTGGGGTTGAGCCATCACGTACCATCGTTGGTCAGCCAAGATCGGGCATCGCTAGCTTGGGGACCTTCCTGAACACAGGGCTGTATATTATACCAGGTCCTCTAAGGAGCTTGGTCTGACATGCAAGAAGGATGAGTGGAAGGGAAAAACATATCCTTTGCCTGTGTCCCTTGTTCACAGTATACACTTGGCCCCAGCAGAGGACATTTTAAGCTTCACTCATGGATGGGATCGTGAAATAGGACACGGGAACTGAAATTTCTTTTCTCCGGCCCTAGGAAAGGATTCCTCCCTTGCTACTCATAAACCAAAGTTCATCTGGGTGGAATAGCTGGCTAAGCTCTAATGCTGGCTTCTGGTTATAGGGATTTTTGTGTTTTTCGAGGCTTGTGCCCGATTTTGAAAATAATGTCAGGATGCAAGAGATGCCTAGGAGAATGTATCCTTGTATGCTTAACCCATTGTTGATAATGAGCTACCCAGGCAAGTCTTAAGTCGACGTGGTCTCACAGAATTGCTGATGGATGGCAGCCTAGAGCTCCATTTTTAGATGTTCTTTTTCTGAATGCTGGCCTTTTAAAATTCTTGAGTTGGTCATAGCTGTAGCATTAGAAGCTTGCTGGGTCCCAGGACTGGCTGAATATTTCTTCGCTCGAAACAAGGATTTACGGAGCTAATGCCAGAATAGAGAAAGACATGGAAATCTTTCCATTTAACCGCCTTGCCTAGTCATGCAAGTGTCCCTAGTTTCAGACAGAGGTGGATGGAAACCAGCAGACACATAAACATAAGTTTACCCTGCCGCTCTGGGGTACCCACAGCTTTGCACACGGTGCCTTCTCAGTTCTCTTGTCCTATCCCAATGTAGATGCCCTTGGATTTGATTCTTTTAGAAAAAGTATTGTATAGGCTGCAAAGTAAGAATGCTAAGTCACACCAGGAGGTTGAATTCCAGTCACTCTCTGACGTGCTCACTGAACAAGTGTTAGCGCTGATCGCACAGGGCTGGCTGCTGTTAGATTTTGGGAGGTGATACTAATGCTACCCCATTGCATTGAACGAGCACTCGTTCAAGTGCTCGACGGTGTTGTTCTGCTCCCACCTGCGCTCTCATGTCATGCTGATTTTCCTGAGTTTGAAGAGCAAACAGGAGTCTGTAGTGTCTGTGATTTAATGATGCTCGTTAAAGCCAGTCAGATCATTGTATCTTCATGATCTCTCTTTGCAGACTCGAACGCCACTGTCTGCAAGACACTCATGTGACTGTCAACCTGTCAGTCGTGGGATCAGTTGGAGCGACCCGTCTGTCTGACCGATGTCCTCGTTTGCCAGCAGGGGAGGGAGGCCAGAGTACGACCGAGTCGGGCGTTTAAGTGCAGTGGGCTCTGTCTTCTCTGGGTGATGAAATGAGCACATATGCCTGGGCAGAGCATCTGCCAGGACGTTTTCCAGCACGTTCTGCTGGGCCGATTCTCCCCCATCTTGAATTGGGCTTTGCTGCCTCGGTCCCCATCTGCTGGCAGCAGGCGGACTGATGGCCGAAGGCAGCTTCCAACGGAGCGGCGCCAGGGCCGCCTGTGTTCTGACGGTGCAGTGGGGTTTTGGAGGCCAGGTCTTAATTGCTTATTTAAGGTGAAAAGTTTCCCCCTGCTTCTCCCAGGAGTAATTTTTGAAATGCAGGTTTTTTATACTGAGCCTAATGAAGCCCCCTCGCCCAGCACCAAGGATGTGAGGCCCTTAGCTCTGTCCGTAAAAGCCCATCCTCTGTGTTCCATCAGGTGGTACCTCATGTAAGTGGATAGAATTACGTGCTATATAACATGGTTGAAGGTTGGGAAACAGGTTGAGGAAATAGAGGATTGATGATATTTTGTGTCCTATGTGGTTAATACACAAGAGCACTTTCATTCGGCATACAAGCATTACGTGGTTTTAAGATTCCAAAAAACATACACGTCTCCCTGGGTAATACTGTGGGGATGCACCTGCGTCTCTGCTAGTCTCTTGGCATCTCGGCGCATGGGTGCTTCCTTTGAGCGGGGACCCAGAGAGTCCGTTTTGCCTGTCAATGCTCGGATGCCTCCACGTAGAAGGAATTCTTCCTTGTGTGGTCCAGCCCTGCTCCCCATCGCAAGCTGGCCCTCTGGTCGTTAGCACATCCGCGTGTTACTAAGTGATGGTATCCCACTCTCCAGAGGGCAGAGACTCTGCCTGACTTGTATGACATCTTTTATAATGCCCATTGCAGCTCATGGCTCCTTGTCGATTTTTTGATAAACACTTGTGCAAGGTGATGTACTCCTAAGGACATCCCTGTAAGAGGGAACCTTAAGACAGATTTACTGTGTGAGGTAAAAATTTATCTTGTGAAATTTTTTTGGTTCCTTAGTACCCAAGATCTTTGCAAAGATAGAGTTGATGGTTGACGTGTGTTAAGAACTTGGAGCTCACCTCCTTAGGGATCATTTAAGCAGGATTTTCCCTGTGAGCGAACTCTTGAACAAGCTTAGCGACAAACAGAAAGTTCAATAAATAGATTTCTTGAAGTATAAGGATTATCATCAGATTTTGGAACATGCTTTTGTTTTAATGTCTATTCATAAAATCACTTGGTTTAAGTAAGAAGGTCTAATTGTCGAAAACACTCCAAGGGGAAGTGTGAATATTGCCAACCGTGAGATATACCATCAATTCCATTGGCTACTCTTAGGGAGACAGCAGTCCTAGTTTGCCAGAGCATTGGTTTGGATTATAACCAAGCAATGTGTGTGTGCTTCAGGAAATGAAGAAAGAAAACAGCTTCCTCAGGAGTCAGTCTGAGCAAAGAGCCAGAGAAGTCTGCCACCTACAGGAAGAACTGAAGAAGAGCAAGCGGGATTTGAGTCAGAGCCAGAATGTTGCTGAGGAAATGAGGGGTAGGTAAAATCGGGTGTCTTGCGATGATTTCCTAAGCTCACGTTCCCATGTGGGAGGGTGGATGACATTAGAAAGTTTGAATTTTTCCACATAGTCTCCCAGGAGGATGTCTGCAGTTGGTGTGGAGAAACTTTTCTCTCTTCCACTTTTTAGTTTCCGGAGTGATAATTGGACTTTTTTTTTTTTTTTTTTTTTTAAATAAACTGGAACACAGAGCACCCACAAATGCCTGGTTTTCAGCATTTTGAAATGAGAAGGGTAAAGGTTTTCCACACAACTGTCAATTGTCGGCGCTGGCTCTCACCCCAGAGGACTGTTGTTTGGCTCCAGTGCGTTGATTGGCTCCACTCGGGCAGCTCCCCTCCTCGGTGATGAGCTTAGCAGGGAAAGCCCTGGGATGCAGCGCATGTTGTCCCAGCCCTTCGCCCCCGTGGGTGTTGGAGGACTGACTGCACTGGGTGCTTTGATTTCCTTACTCTTATGCTCCACACAGCCAAGGAGTCCACCGTGAGTCACCCTTTTCTCTGTGCCCCACAGCTCTTCTGGTCACGTGGATATTTCTCCCCTCGGGCGTGTGCACATCCAGGGTTTCTCCTAACCTTCCCCGTGGATGGTGGAAGTATGTGCGATGCTCCTGTGCGACCATTTCCTTTTTGCAATTCCCTCCTTCCCCAGACGGCTTTCAGGGATTCGACCGCAGTAGGGAGCACTGTCAGTCTTCCATGACAGAAGGCGCTAAGAGAAGGGAACAGCTGGGGCGTGTTCCAGCGTTGGTCACCGGGGTGATGGTCTGAGGCACTCGTGAGCCGTGCTGACCGATAGCCCCGGGGCCTGTGGAGAGCCACCCTGTGGAGGGCCACCCCTCGGTAGGGAGACCGAGATGAGCGGGTTCACAACAGGAGGTGGTTGCCACTGATTGTGCCCCCTGCATTTGGCATTCATGCTGCCCTTGTCATGTGCTTGAGATCCTCAGCTTGTGTTCTCCCTCAATCGATGTGGGGAGTTGGAAGGCTTCCCATCGCTGCTGAATGAAAGCATTGAGGCGATTGTCAAGCGGGTGGGGCTGAGGGTACAGGTGTGTTGTTGGGCAGAGAACAAGGTGGTAACGGAGTTTGAAAACGCTGCCAGGTGATTCTTGGAGCCATAGACACCGGTTTCACGGTGAGGGGCTGGGATGTGGGTTACGTTGCTCCTCGGCACTCCTCGTAGAGGGGCGTCGAGAGTTACTGCCGTAAGTCATCTTTTCCTCTGTTGTCCTTAGTCCAATGGATTCTGGCTGAAATGGCAGAACAGTGATATTTCTTGTGGGAAATCAGAATTACTCCATAGTGAAGTAGGTATTTCCATTTCAGTGCTGCTTTTGTCACAGTTTTCTCTCTTAGAATAGGTCTTTGAAAAGAGGTGAAATTTCAGGCATACCTCAGAGGTAGGGCAGGTTCAGTCCCAACCAGTGCAATGAAGCAAGTATTACACGCAGTGAAGTGAGTCATGACCTTTGTGCTGGCGGAGGGTCTCGCCTTCAGTTTGTAAAACACACACCATCCGTGAAGCATAAGAAAATGACCATTCCTGTCCCCATATATGTGGCAGAAGGAAAAGTTTCAAGTGGTTAGGAAAATAACCCCTTGGTTTTATATAATAACACTTTTTTAAGGGGCTTAGGAAGAAGATGAACAAATGCATTGCCTTCCCCCCACCCCTCCCAGAAGTACCATGTTTCTCACTGTCTTTAAAGAAGCCTCAATGACTGTCAGGTGATCCACTTTCAGGAGGTAGCTGGACAGCAATGCCAGTTTTTACAGGGCTGAGAGATTGTTGGTTTGTGTAGAGTTTGGTTTTCAGTTCAGAATTCTTATAAAATAAATATTAAAAACACTGACAGTGCTTGGTATTTTTTCTTTTGAACAGCTAAGAATGCATCTCAGGAAAGCATGTTAAGAGATCTCCAAGAAAAAATAAATCAGCAAGAGAATTCCTTGACTGTAGAGAAACTGAAGCTTGCTTTGGCTGATCTGGAAAAGCAGCGTGATTGTTCTCAGGACCTTTTGAAGAAAAGGGAACACCACATTGAACAACTGAGTGAAAAGTTAAGCAAAACAAAAAGAGAGTCTGAAGCTTTATCAAGTGCTTTGGAGTTAAAAAAGAAAGAGTTTGAAGAACTGACAGAAGAGAAAACTCTATTTTCTCACTGGAAAAGTGAAAATGAACAACTCATAAAGCAGATGGAATCAGAACATGAAAACCTGCAGAGTAAAATCAGTCAACTGGAAACTTGCCGTAAGACACAAGAAATACAAAGCAATGAATACAAGGAGAGAGTAAGCACATTGGAGATGGAAAGAGAAAACCTTAGTGCGGAGGTGAGAAACCTTCACAGTGTCATCGATAGCCAGACAGTGGAGGTGGAGACACAGAAACAAGCTTATGTAGAACTGCAGCAGAAAGCCAACCTGTCAGATCAGAAACATAAGAAGGAAACAGAAAATATGTGTTTGAAAGTTTCTGAACTTATGGAGCAAGTTGAAGATCTAAAGCAGAAGCTTCAGTTACTGTCAAGAGAAATAACGGACAAAGACCAGCGTTACCAAGACTTGCACTCTGAATATGAGAGTCTCAGGGATCTGCTAAAACCTGGTGATCCTTTGGTGACGAGGGAAGCTCGTGGCAGACGTCTTCTGACTTCTGAGGAGCAGTCTGAAGTGAGAAATTCCTTTGTAGATGTAGTTGGAGAACAAGGAAGCATGCCTTCAGAAAGGGGCGGCGGCCACGTAGGAGCAGACCAAAGTCCAGAAAATTCAGCCCTTTTACAATGTCTACAGCTTGAGTTACAGACAATGAGAACAGAATTGGAATCTGGAAATGGGCAGGAGGGCACTCAGTCAGGAGATGTTAGTGGTCTTAAAGACTGTGAAACAGATACAGAGGGAAAGCCTCTGCCTGAGTTTTACATGCTGTCAACAAGTGAAAATGACGATACGCGGTTCCAGCGTGCTCTACAGAGAGCAATAGACAAGCTGCATGAGCTAGAGACAATGTGTGAAACGCTGCGTGTTGAAAAGTTTGAATCAATGTCTGAGCTGAATGACTCGAGATCAGAACGTATCACAGCAACTAGTAAAATGACAGACGATTTCAAGAAACTACTTGATGCAGTTAAAATATTAAATAATGAACACAGCCATTGCCAAGATGAGTTAGTAGAAGAGGTGCCAGAAGGTGAGCCTGGTGAACAACAAAGTATAGAGACATCTGTGTTCTTAAATTCTTTGGGTGATGGAAACTTTTACGAGCATTTGACATTGTCGCACAAAGAAGTTCAAATGTGCTTTGCTGAATTGCAGGACAAATTCTCATGTTTACAAAGGGAACACAAACTTTTACATGATCAACACAGCCAAATGAGAACTAAGATGTCAGAGCTACAGTCCTATGTTGGCATATTAAAGGCTGAAAATTCGGTCTTGTCAATGAAACTTAGAAGCTCTCAAGGTGACCTGGTTAAGGAGGGGAAGATGGAACCCTCAGATGGGCATTCGTTGCTCATGTCATTGTCTTGTGTGGCTGACAGCCCTAGTCCTCCAAGTCTGGGTGAATTGTCATTCTGGAAAGGTCTTTTGGAAGAGATAGGAGAAACATCTCTTCTGAAGGGTGTACAAGGGGACGTTTGTGCACAGCAGTCTGACGTCGAGGAGGCGTCGCGCTGCGGTCCGCAGGAAGAGGGTCTGCCCCCGGAAGCCATGCCGCCAGTCCCGGAGAAGAGTGTTGAAGAACTGGAGATCCTGTGTGAGGGGTGCCAGCAGTCCCTCAAGGAGCCGGGAGAGACCGTGGGAAGTCAGGAGATGATGGAAGAGAAGGCCATGGAAGAACCCGGACAGTTCGGAAGCTCTGAAAGGAAAGAACTTGACTGCCTGAGGGAGCAGCATGTGTCAGAAATCGAACAGTGTCCACAGATGCCAGCAGGCCTGACGGTAGGGAGAGAGTCCCCGTTGGCAGCAGAAGAGGAACCGACGGAACACCTGTCGCCGGAGCTGGGAGTCGCGCCACTTGAGCCCCAATGTCTGGACTTAAGTGCCTGGACCGTGCTGGGCACCGATGCTGAAGACGTAAGTCCAGAGGTGCACATGCTATTTCTCTAAGTACGTGTCCAGTAGTCAGTCATCAAATGTGTGTTGGATGGAAATCCATATCGAATCTAACTTCAAACATGTTTAGGTTTTAGTTACTGAGGCCCTCGCCCTTCTAGTCCAGCATCTCAACGAGCGATGCGGGAGAGTGGGGGGCGGGGGGGGGGTGTCACTTCCTTCCCTCTGTCCGCCTTTGTGTGATGGAGATGGCAGGGGTTGAGTAGGGAGCAGGAGTGGTCACAGCACCCATGTAGTCCCTGTTTTTCAGACAACAGGAGGTGACATCCAGACACGTGGTTTACCTAAGAAAGAGATAGTAAGCGCAGGCTTCAGTCTTTGGGCTAAAGGGGGTCAATGACACCTCACCGCCTTCTCTTGTGGAAGAAGATGAGCATTCTCTGTGGACTCGCTTAGCCTCGTGTTTGATAATCAGAAAGAAAACCTTTCCACTTAGGCTTCACGGACTATTGCTAGTGAGAACAAGAATTTGAAATTGCAGTGTATGCCAGGGTAGATGATGACACAGCGGAGGGTTTGTCTCAGGATAGACACCTCCAGTGCCTTGCCCAGAGAGGATACCTCCTGACTGTGTGTTTCATGTTGTGATTGGATGCAATGGGGAGAGTGTGGTAGGAAATATGTCATTGGTAGTGATGTGTTTAGCAGAGGCAAGAAGCCAGTTTCTATAAAGCAATAATGAAGGTTATTTAATCTTTTCTGATTCTTCCTGAAAAATAAAATGCATTCTCATTCTCTGTTACAACTACAGGCTCTTCAGGGTGGAAGTGAGAGCTGTGATACAAACGGATCAGAAGAAGGTACTACGGAAAGGAAGGAGAGAACACCAAAGAGGGACATTCATTCGCTTTGTGACCGAATTGTAGTCATAAATGGGAGAAGCTGGCTTCATTCAGAAGTAGATACTTTGTCAAAAGAAAAGAAGGAACTGGATCTGATGTCTAAAAAGATGAAGGAGAAAATAGAAGAGCTGGAGTTTCATCAAGGAGAGTGTCCGTATCACTCTGACATTGTGGAAACTGAGGTGAAGGGCAAGAGACAGCTCCTTCAGACTTTGTCCTCTGACGTAAGTGAGCTTTTAAAAGAGAAAGCCTACCTCCAGGAGCAGCTGCAGCGTTTGGAAAAGGACTCACACGCCCTGTCTTTGGGCAAAAACGAGCTAGAAAACCAAATCAGACAGTTGAATAATGAGAAAGAGTTGCTTGTGAGGGAATCTGAAAGCCTGTGGAACAAGTTACATGAATTGGAGCAGGAAAAGCTGACTGCCACTAAATCCTTGGAGGCTGCAGTAATGGAAAAAGGCGAGGTCGCTGTGAGGTTGAGCTCAACGCAAGATGAGGTGCATCAGCTGAGAAATGGCATTGAGAAACTGAGGGTCCGCATCGAGGCCGACGAGAGGAAGCAGGTCCATGTCTTGGAGAAACTGAAAGAAAGTGAGCATAAGAACGATTTGCTTCAGGATAAAGTGGAGAATCTTGAAAGAGCATTGCAGATGGCAGAAGAAAACCAAGAGATAGTGATTCTTGATGCTGAGAATTCCAAAGCAGAGGTGGAGACCCTAAAAACACAAATAGAATCAATGACCGAATCCCTGAAAGCCTTAGAATCGGACCTTGTCATGATAAGATCCGAAAAAGAAAATCGAACCAAGCAGCTTCAAGAAAAAGAGGATCAGATGTCTGAATTGGATGCATTACTTTCTTCATGTAAAAACCTATTAGAAGAAAAGGAGCAAGAGAAAATGCAGATGCGAGAAGAATCTAAAGCTACAGTAGAAATGCTTGAAAGAGAATTGGAAGAGCTTAACAAGGAGGTGGCAGCCTTGTGTGATAACCCAGAAACCGGGATGGTCCCAGAACAGAGCCTGGGCTTCCCAATGCAGGGAGTGCAGCAGCTGAAAACCAACATACAGAAGCTGAAAGTCTGGGTGGACGAGGCAGGAATGCAGCAGATCCAAATCTTAGGAGAACTGCAGGAAAGTAAACAGCAAGCCTCTTTGCTGGGGCAGACAGTCGAGGCCCTTGAAAAAGAACTAAAGGAGTCAGAAAAGAAACATGAACATGCAACTCAGGAGGCAGAGGACTCCAAAGCAGAGCTGGAGAAGCTAAAAGCAAAAATAGAGGATCTGGAAAAAGATCTTGTCAACATAAGGTCCGAAAAAGAAAATCTGAGAAAAAAATTACAGACGGACCAAGAGCAATTATCTGAATTAGAAATATTAAAGTCTTCATTTGAAAATCAATTGCAAGAAAAACAGAAAGAAAACATTTGGCTGAAAGAAGAATCTAAAATTGTCGAGGAGCGGCTTCAAACGCTATTTGAACAGATGAAGGAGAAACTACCAGCCTTGTGTAATGACCAAGGGCCCTGGAAGGCCACAGGACAAAGTTCTGAGACTGGTCAAATACCTTATCTTGAACATGAGAAGATTCAGCTGCCGCAAGGCCTTGACCAGACCCAAAGTAATTATATTATTTTGCAGTCTTCTGTGAATGGCCTCATTCAAGAAGTAGAAGATGGCAGGCAGAAACTCCAGGAAAGGGAAGAAGAAATCAGGGCATTGAAATATCAAATCCAAGAACAAGAGCAGCTTGTCTCTAAGCTGTCCCAGCTAGAAGGAGAGCTCCACGTTCTGAAGAAACAAAAGGCAGAACAGGAACAGAAGATCCAAAGGCTGCAGTCCAAAAATGACACTTTGCAGGACAACTACAACGTGCTACAGAATTCTTACACACACCTGGAGAAAGAGCTGGAATTGATAAAAATGGAAAAAGTATCCTTTGTTGAAAAAGTAAGTGGCTTTTTCTACATTTGCATATGTTTTCATGAACAAGGGAAGCCAGTGGGTGAGTTGCATTTCCTTCTGGACAGCATTTGCGTCTTGGACCAAACTTTGTCAAGGCTTGAGGGTCTGTGAGATCCTGAGCTTGGGGAGGTTGAGTTGCCTGCAGTCGTAATGACCCTTTCTTGGCTTTGGTGCACATGGGCGTGGCACTCTTTCGTGGACAGGCCCAAACTGTCGAAGTGGCATGTGGACCGGGGAGAAGCTCTGGTTTCTGCACAGTTCCCAGTTCTCATTCTGCTTCCGTTTCCCATAGCGCGTCAGAATGGTAGCCTCCCCCTGCCCAGGGGAGAACCACTGCGATAGAGAGTAGAAGAGATACTAGTCAGGATCAGAAGGCATCCCCTTTGTCCTTGTCCCGCCTTTATGACTTTGAGAAGAAAGAACAATTAAAGATGGTGATGTAAGTGTCACCAAGAGAACCGGAAAGGCCCGTAGTGTGTGTCTCGGGAATTTTGTGCTTTCAGTCCCCCTCTTGTGTACCTTCCCACCACCCCCTACTCCCCCCTCCATTTTGTTAGCTCACAGTGAGAGGGAGGATCCACCATCAAGAGGCTCACACGATCACACTTTTGTGGGACAAATGTGAAAGGAAAACAGGTGTGCAAGGAAAAATGCAATGAGTCAGCACCCAGTTTCCCAAGCATTTCAAGGGTGCGGATGGCTGGCAAGAGACAGCGGTTGTGGTGATGATTAGGAAAGCTGCACGCCACTGTTTCAATGGCAAGGAGTAGATGCAAGCAGCAGAGTGTCAGTTGGATCTACCTCATACTAGCCACGTTTCTTGCGGGTCATTATGACATTGAGGGTTAGCAGAGATCCAAGAAATAATGAAAATCTAAGATGCTGCCTTGTACGCTATTCTCTGACGTTTCTGTTGAATGGAAATGAATGCCTTTATGAGGGGTTTTGACCCTCAGTAAGAGCACCTTTCCTTGTCATTCCTTCCCTGATTGCTGTCCCTTGTGAAGTCTTTGCTCCCAAGAAACGGTAAGCTCCCGAGTGGGATTTGGCACATTAGTTGAGAGATTAGCCAAGGGAGGATCAGTCGCGTTCCACATTGTTCCTGAAGCCTGACATGACGTCACAACTGCGGTACGGGATGGATTGATTTGGTCAACGCAGGCCACCAAAAGCAGGTTCTAATGAAAGATCCCATTTCAGGTAAACGTTTTGACTTTGAGGGAAACAGAGCTGCAGCGCGAAGTGCACGAGATGACCCAGAAGATGACGGACCTGAAAGCAGAATTCAGTGGAGAGAAACATACGCTGAGCAAAGAACTGAACGGAATGTTGGAAGCACTGAAGCGGAGTGAAGTGAGTCTCCCTGTGACAGACTGGTAACTGAGTGTGCACACTCTCCCTGTTTGTTTCTGGAAGACCTTGTGTCAGGCAGGGGATGCTGTCGAGCTTTTGAAAAGAACCAGTGTGCGCTTGTGTGAGGAGGCGACAGGCAGTGGTGTTCCCCAGCCAGCGCAGTGCTGGGCCCGGAAGGAGCGCGGAGGCGCCTCCAAACACAGGAGCAGTGCTGCCTTGGAGCCCAGACCTTTTTTCCCCAGACGAGGCCCCTGTCCTCCGTGAGCTCCCCTCAGAAATCGATCTCCCGCAGCATTGGATGGGCTGCTCTCCCAGCCTGCCGCCGATTCCAAGGCAGAATGTTGGGAGAGGCAGATGCCCTGATCGTGCTCAGAGCTGAGAAAGTGAGAGAAAGAAAGGGGCAGGAGGGTGTAGAGCGAGGGCAGCCTTGGGCGCCCTTTCAGAGCAGGGTTAATGTGGCCGGTGTGCAGCCTTTGGGCCTCCACTCCCCGCCGCTGTGCCCGTAGCAGGCTGTGCCGATTCCCTTCCCCTGCCGCTCCTCTGCCCTCTCAGCCCTGAGTTGCGGGAGCTGCCCCGGGCTCGCAGAGCTACCCAGGGCAGCGAGACCTGTTTGCCACACCCGGTCCGATGGGAAACCTCCCTGTGTGCCTCCAGTCCTCATGCAGCTTCCCCTGTGAGGAAGCCTTAGCGAAGGCTGGCGGAGAGAGGTGTGACCATGACGCAGAAGCAGCCCAGGACGTTGAAGTGATTTTTGTAACACCCTGTATGAGAAGTTGTGGAGATTTGTGCTTTTCTTTAAATACTGTATTTTAGCTGAGGAAACCGGAAACATTTTGGCCTTTACCCCAGCCAGGTAGCTCAGTTGATTAGGCAGTCTCGATAGGCCCAGACCGTGGGGTTCGATCCCAGGTCAGGGCACATGGAAGGAAAACCCAATGAGGACGTGGAAGGGGAATCTGCAACATGATGTTTTTCTCTGTGTCTCTCAAATCACTATTGAAGACAATGTAAAGGCTGGGCCTTCCATCTCAGCCATTGACTGAAGTGGGGATTTTGGCCATGCCATGTGGAAGGAGTTTGTAGTGATGATACATTTGCGCCTATCATCTACAGAAATATGCTTCGATAGTGAGCAGCTTGGGACGGTCCCAAGTCTCCTGTCATCTGTACTTGATTTTCAGGCTCTACTCAAAAGACAAGCTAAATGTTGAGCCTCAGTTTCTATGTTGAAGCATGTTAGCTTGCAATGACTGTCTTCATTTAGTTTTTCCTTTTGTCAATACTAAGCACTAGTAGGTTGAGGGGGTTGAATGTGGAATCGTGGCTCTCATGTGGCTCCTGTAGTCCTGTAGCTTCCAGTGTAGGCATGCAGTCGGGACCACGAAATAATCCTCCTTAGATAGGAAACACAAAATAATCATGCACCGGGAAGTGCTCTAAAGCCGGTGCAGGAAGAGAGAGCCAAACTGTGGAGGGGCTCGAGTGTGAAGGGCGTTGGAACGGTGGTGCCGGTGGTGAGGTCAAGGAATTCTGGCAGTGGAAACACTTGGATAATCCGGCGTGGTAGCCCAGGAGTCTGGAGTCCCAGAGTGGTTCCGGTGAAGTGAGGTCAGAGATTTTGCGGTCGCCTGGATGTGACCTTGCGGGTGGCTGGGCCAGAACCGAGGTAGTTGTCACTGGAGGCGAAGGTGCAGTTCAGGGGAACATGTGGCTACGGTGTATTGCCCTGCTCTGCAGAGGTTTTTGTCTTGACCGTCAAGTCCTTTTCCCCACCGGCGTGTGGTGTTTCCTAAAGGTATAGATCAAGGTGCTTCGTGATTGTCCCATGATTGCATGACTTTTCTCCTCAGGGTCAAGTGAAGGAATTGCTGCTAGAAAAGAGTGACTTGAGAAGGAGCTTGGATCGCATACAGCAAGAGCAGATGGAGAAGGAAGAGAAAACGAGAGAAGAAATAGCTGCTTCTCAGCAACAGCTTCAGGAAGCCGAAAAGAAACATCACACTTTGCTTCTGGATACCAACCAAGAGGTGAAAAGTGCATTTTGGTTCCTGGGGGAGCTGGAGACTGTGTGTTGCCCACGGTAACAAGGCTTCTTTTTTTGTTTTCTTTATCAAGGGGGTCCAAGTTCTGCATTATTATTATGCTGTAAGGTGTAAGGAGGGTGCCTGCCTTCAAGTTAGCTTCACTCTGTCTTCCCCAATTGCCTGCACATGTGTCCTTTGATAACTGAATGTTTCCACATACATTTCCGTCCTGGAGGAGCAAAGTAGCTGCGTTGCAGAGTGCCTTTGAAACAGTCCTTGGAAGAGCAGTTTTGTCCTTGGTTTGTTTTGCTGAAGTAGCCTTTTTCTGCCCTAGCATGCGCTGGAAATCCAAACGTATAGAGAGAAACTGACTTCTGCAGAAGAATGTCTCCGCTCCCAGAAGGTGGAGATAGACCTCTTCACGTCCAGTAAAGAACAACTCACGGAGTCTTTGAATGAAAACGCTGAGCTTTTAAAGGAATTGCTACAAACCAAGGTCTGTTTCCTTGTCATAATTTCATACTTGGAACGGTTGGTGCAGAATAAGTGTGGATGTACTGGTATTGATTTCCGAGATTTAATTATCATGAAAAAGTGATGAATGATACCTGTTGTGAATTCTCTGCTGAGCTCCTTGGAGAAATCAGCGGGTGGCCTACAGTCTCATGGCTAGAATGGTCTTCAGTGCTCAGGAAATGCTCCAGCTAGAGGGTGTTCAAGACTTCTCTCGAGGTGGACGTGCAGACAAAACCAGTCCCAGATGAGGGCAGGCCCTGGGGCTGTAGATACTGGGGGCGGGGTCATTCCAAAGTCTTAGCTGATGGGCCTCCACGTTCACTGCCATCACCAAACCCACTCTCCTCCGGCTCCCGGGAAGGTCCATGTGTGGCAGACCATGGGTCAGTCCCGTGGCAGGTGTATTTGTTAACTCTCCCCTTCCTGTCCACAGAGGGATGATAAAGTGTTTCTGTTCAAGAGAAAAAGGGGGTGAACCCTGGCTTCAGGAATCTGAGACTGGAGAAGGTGCTTTAGTCATTGTACTTGGAAAGGGAGGCAGTTTAGAGTCCTACGGAGACCTTTCCCAAAGTGACAACCATCCACAATGGGTGATCATGAACCCGCCAAACAAGTATCTTCCAGTAAAGGTCTTTAGTAAAAGATGATTTATGTGTTTAGAATTTTGATATGCATTGTACATTAAATATATTCAAACAAAAAGCAAGGTATAAACTTCTTTGGTTTATTTCTCTTCTGCAATTACAAGAGCAAGGAAATACACCCAAAAAATACAAGCTCATAAAATTCAGAATAACATGAATAATCAATGATGTTCTGTTACGTGGGAGATATTAGGTATAATAGTAGAAAGAAGTAGCTTCATGTCTACTTTTTTACACATTTTGTGCCTTTTTATTTTTTGACAGTTTTACTGTGGGGAATGTCTGTTTCTATTCATACCACGTCCAAAACAGTGCATTGTTGGGGCTATTCAGATCACATCTCATTTTAATGAGGTATACTTGGTAAACATTCTTGAAATTGAATTAGTTCATCTCTAATCCCATTGTGGTTGAAATCAGAAAGAAAAAATTTCAGAAGTGCAGATTTATTGCAACATTGCTAATTTCAAGATGAAATAGACAAAGGATGAAATCACCAGCAACATGAATGTAGTGCTCAGGTTCTTTCTTTCTTTCTTTCTTTTTTAATAGTTTGTTGTGCTTTTAAATATTCCTGATCTCCTACCAGAATCTCTTAGAGCTTAACTGTATTAGAATTCTGCATCTTTAGATACTGCATAATACAGTGCATATGCCACATATTATATAATATCCTAACAGGATCTGGGGAAATACTTCATACCAATTCATATTTCTGTAGCAAAATACGTGAATATCCCACCAATAGGGTAAATACAGACTGTAAATACCTTTGTATCAGGTCAAATTTGCCTCTCAATCATTTGCAGAGCTTTTTCTTTGGTTAAGGAAGCAGGAATTTTCATCTCTGAGTAGTTCACAATGTCACAATTCTCCCACCATTCTATTGACTTCCTCGTTGAGCTGCTTATAAAATTTAAATTTGTCTTGTGAGCCATAACATGGTTTAGCCTTCACCTAGTGTGACTAAAATAAATGGCATCTGAAGTATTGAAATTTTGTATCGGCACGAGATTACCAATGGGAACTTAATTCTCAGAATGTTTGACCCATGAAGAATACGTCCATGGACTCCCACGCCCACCCCCCAGGGTTGCGATTTCTTCTGGATAAACACAGGCACAGAGATGACACTGATTGAGGAACTATGCTCTGTGCTTGTGCATGCTAAGAGGGGAGTCACATAACCCATGTCCACCAGGGATACTTAGGTAACTGCATAGAAAAGGTGTTTTGTTTTATTCTTAATTAGATGTTTTAGTGTGAACATAATAATTCTTATTTTTAATTTAATTTTTTAAATATATTTTATTGATTATGCTACTACAATTCTCCCAATTTTTCTCCCCTTTATTCCCCTCCACCTTGTACCCTCACTCCCACCAGCACTCCCCGCCTCCCCAGTTCATAGCCATGGATCATACATAAAAGTTCCTTGGCTTCTCCATTTCGTACACTATTCTTAAACTCCCCATGTATTTAGTACCTACCATTTATGCTTCTTATTCTCTGTACCTTTTCCCCTATTCTGTGCCTGTCCCCACCCCAATGATAACACTCCATGTGATTGCCATTGTTCTGATTCTGTTCCTATTCTACTTGTTTGCTTAGTTTGCTTTTTTCCCCTTCATTTGTTGATGTGAGTTTGTTGTCATTTTACTGTTTATAGTTTTTGATCTTCTTTTTTTCTTAGATAAGTCTCTTTAACATTTCATGTAATAAAGTCTTGTTGATGATGAACTCCTTTAACTTTACCTTATCTGGGAAGCACTTTATCTGCCCTTCCATTCTAAATGACAGCTTTGCTGGATAGTGTAATCTTGGATGTACTCTTGGAAAGGTCCTTGCCTTTCATGACTTTGAATACTTCTCACCAGCCCCTCCTTGCCTGCAAGGTTTCTTTTGAGAAATCAGCTGATAGTTTTCTAGGAATTCCCGCTGTAGATGACTGCCTCCTTTTCTCTTGCTGCTTTGAATATTTCTCCTTATCTTTAATCTTGGATAATGTAATTATGATGGACCTTGGTGTGTGCTTCTTTGGGTCCAACTTCTTTGGGACTCTTTGAGCTTCCTGGATCTCCTAGAAGTCTATTTCCTTGGCCAGATTGCGGAAGTTCTCTTTCATTATTTTTTCCAAATAAGTTTTCAATTTCTTGCTCTTTCTCTTCTCCTTCTGGCACCCCTATGATTCGGATGTTGGAACATTTAAGGTTGTCCCAGAGGTTCCTAAGCCTCTCCTCGTTTTCTGAATTCTTGTTTCTTCATTCTGTTCTGGTTGAATGTCTCTCTTCTTTATGCTCCAAAATGTTGATTCGAGTTGTGGTTTCCTTCCCTTCACTATTGGTTCCCTGTAGGTTTTCCTTTATTTCACTTTGCATAGCTTTCATTTTTGCCTTTATTTTGTGACCATATTCAACCAATTCAGTGAGCATCCTGACTGCCAGTGTTTTGAACTCTGCATCTGATAGGTTGGGTGTCTCCTCATTGCTTAGTTTTATTTTTGGAGCTTTGATCTGTACATTCATTTGGGCCATATTTCTTTGTTTCATTGTGCCTGTTACTTTGGTAGGGGCAGAGTCTTAGGTATTCGCCAGGGCGGGGGCAACGTATGTCCCTGCATTGTGACGCTATATGTAGGGGAAGAGTCCAAGAGGGAACAATGTTGCTTACTTGGCTGTTGTCCCACTTCCAGTCACTTCCCCCACTGGCCACAAGTACATTGGACTCTTTGGTGCTAATTCCCAGATGGGTGGATTGGTTTCTGTACATTCTAGGACCCTGTGGATCTCTCCAACGGACTCTCCTGTGAGGCAGGGAGTTTTTCCTCCAGCCGATCCCTGGTCGGTGTGGTCTGTCTTGCTCCCCAACTGTTCCTCCCAGTTTATCTGCATGCAAATGTGGGACCACTGAGTCCACCAGCTGCTGCCTCTCCAGCCCAGTGTTCCAACAACAGCCTTGATGCTCATTGTCTCCAACCTGGCTGTCCGTCTCCACTCCTCCTACCAGTGTGAATGAATGTTTCTTCTTTAACGCCTTGGTTGTTCGACTTCTAAACAGTTTGATTTTCTGGTAGTTCCAGTTATTCTTTGTCTTTAAATTAGTTGTTGTCCTTCATTTAGTTGTGCAAGGAGGCAAAGTGTAACTGCCTACGCCTCCATCTGACCAGAAGTCCTCCAACTGGAGAACTTTTGAAACACTGATTCCTAGTGACTTCCACCAGAAATTCCTATTTGAACATAACAATTCTTAAATATAAAATATATTATTTGTAATTATATCTCATGATGATTTTTTTATGTTTTATTTTTTCTTTAAAATTTTTAAAAATTATATTTATTTCGTTAGAGAGATGGGAAGCAAGGGTGAGAGGGAGAGAAACATTGATGGGTGACACCGGAAGAACATCAATCTGTTGTCTCTCACGCAGCCCCGAGCAGGAACATGGCCAGCAACCTAGGCATGTGCCCCAACCAGGACTCTAACTGGCAACATTTTGGTTTGCAGGTTAGCGTTCAACACACTGAGACACACCAGCAAAGGAACATAATGATTATTTCTATGTCCTTATTAAAAACAAAAATGAAAGGTTATAAATTCAAGTTTTTGTTTTGTAGATGGACAGTCAAACATATATAAATCAGCTGAAGAAGGAAAAGGAAAGTGCCCAAGGGGAAATCAAGTCATTGCTCAGACGTCATAAGTTGCTGGAAGAGGAGAAAGCACTGCTCCAAAAAGAACTGTGTCACCTGGAAGAAGCTGCGCAAGAGAAGCAGAAATCAGGTGGGGAGAGCGGGCCCCGGCCGTGAGCCCAAGCTAACGAAGGCCACTGTGTGGGCAAGCAGTATCTGAGCACTCTGCTCTGGTCCCGCGGGCTACATCTCAGCAGCTGTCCATTTTCTAGTTGCTGAATTGTGTGCTCCGCATGGGGTCATTCACAGGATTCCGAAGGAAGCCTGCATTCTGAAAGGCAGCAATCACATCTTGTGTTCTAGAAAACGTACAAAAACTCTGGCAGTGCTGTGTGCGAGTGGGCCACTGCAGGAAGCACTGTGCCCGTGATGTCCATTGACCTTGGCCCCGCATCTCGGGCAGAGATGGATCTGAGCTGGCACTGCCAGTTTACGGACAGGTGGTTCTGGTTGTCCTTGGCGCATGCTCGTGGGTCAACTCCCTGGGAGGGTGGTCGGGGTCGAGAGCTTTCTTTTTGGGTGTGGAGATAAAATAAAAAAGAAAGGACCCCTTGCCTTCACTCATGCCCGAGTGGAATCCTCCTTCCTGTGTGGAGAGGTAATGGTACGCGTTGCGTGGGTGGCTCTTGTGGACCAGAGCTCAGCAGGGTGGTTCAGTGTCTTTCCTGAGGAGAAGAGTCCTCAGAGCTGCGGGGCTGCCAGGAGTTTTTCTAATGGGTTTCCCGCCAAGCACGGCAGCTAAAGGTTGACTGGGACTCCCACCCCTATCGCCCCCTAACCTTTTGTCCCTCGGACCCTCCGTTGCTTGCCAATGGTTTCCAGAGCTTTCTGGGACCTGCCTGGTCACTGGTCCCCATCTGCCTCCCAAAGCGATTCAACGGAGGAGACATCATATCCTTGACCGCCTTATGCCGCATGTTCCTGGGCAGTGGGAAGAATGGACAGGGAATGTAGGGGCTGTGCCAAAGTGATCCATTGCTCTCCTAGGCACACCTGCAAGAACATTTTATGGGTTAGCGGCAGCACAAATTTGAGCTTTGGGTGCATTTTATTGAAGGTGTCCTCATAAGGCTTACATAATCTTTTAGAGTATTTACCCTAAGATTCCACCCAGGCAAGGGTTGTTAGAAGTATAAGAACATGCAGAGATATAACTCCTCCACTTCTACCAAAAAACAATTAAAAAACAAGGTTAAGGTTTTCTGCTTTCTGATGTCCACTGTCAACTAACGGAGTGTCAAGTGTCATGGTGTGATTTTTGACAGGTGCTGTTGTGGATGCTCATGTCGATGAACTGATGACTGAGGTGAAAGAACTGAAAGAGGCCCTTGAAGTAAAAAACAAGGAGGCAGACGAATACTTGGATAAGTACTGCTCTCTGCTCATAAGCCACGAGAAGCTGGAGAGAGCCAAAGAGATGCTGGAGACGCAAGTTGCTCGTCTGAGCACACAACAATCTGCACCTCCTGTCCCAATTTCTCCCGGGCTCAAGTCAGTAGACCAAGAGTCACCTCCAGTGCCTTATGTTATGGAAAAGTCACCTCCAGTCCCTTGTGTTCCTGAAAAGAAGGTATCATCCGGCCAACGTAAAGCTTCAGGCAAAAGGCAAAGGTCTAGTGGGATTCGGGAGAACAAGGGAGGAACCTCACCCTCCACACCAGACATGTTTCCAAAACCAAGCCAGAAGGTGGTCCAAAGTGCTGTCCCCCCTGCTGAGGATGCGGAATCCACTGAGTTTGAGCCTGAGGGACTTCCAGAAGTTGTAAAGAAAGGTGCGGAATAATTTTAAAACAAAGTCATCTGTGTTCTTTTGAAAGTCCACATGGAACTTCACATGCAAAAGACAGAAGCATTGCATTTTAGGTTATTATACAATTGTATGAATTAACATTCATCTTTTAAGATACATATTTTCCTTTCTGTCATGTGAGACTGAATAGGATCTAGTCAATCAAGTCACACTACAAAAAGTGTTAGTAAATTTGCAAAATGACTGTTACAAACCTGCTTTGAATTTGATATTCCTGTGCTGACAAATCCCCAAATCTGGGACATCCTGTGAGCAGTAACATGTGACCCAGGCAGGAGGTGAGCTGGAGGAGGGGTCCGATGATGCGGCCCCCCAGCTGAAGCCACAAACCCCTTTTTTTTGAAACCCCAGAGACCAGGAACAGTTGTTACTGATTCATGAACCCCCGCACTCCCAGTAAAAGTACAGAATTCAACAGTAATAGCTTAAAATTTTCACAGCAATACAACACTGTCTGAAAATCCAAGCACACAATATTTCTCTGTTGATTAATTCTTACTGTGTTATACAAAAGTACTGTTCCATAGCATATTCAAAATCTTCCCATCCCTGCACCCACCAAAAACTGACCAAAACTGATTCTCTGTCATAGATGGTTTGAGAATCACTATCCTGAGTAATCTAGCCCTTAGGACATCTAGACTCCAAATAGTGAGCTGTGTCTTTCTCATTACTGTGTTTTATTTCTCGTTAAAGGGTTAAAAACAAAAACAAACCAAATATTGATTTAGTTAGCCATTAATTCTGCTCTGAATTATGTGTGAGACCCCGTCTTTTAGCGTCCTTTGCATTAACTTTGTCCTCTTGGTCACGATGAGTGCCGTTAGTCCCTTCTCTGGAAGGAGGTGGTGGATACAGAGGGTGAAACAGATCAGTGGTAGCGAGGTCAGGTCTGGGCCCCTGCAAGTCTCCGCGTGGGAGGGGTCACCTCAAGGAGTTGTTCTCATTATACATTTTCCCCCTGTAAACAAGAGCTGGCTTTTATTTTCTTTTTTATGTTCATTTTTTTTTTTATTTTTGCATTTGACTCCCCCCATCCAAATTTATTGGAGGTTCTTCAGATCTTAGAAAATAACAATTTAAAACATCTTCATAGAGAAGCAGGAAAATTTTTCCTGTCTGATATTATTTTCCCCTTCTTTTCTAATTGTGGTGTTTTAATGTTTATAGTAAGGGAACGCCTTTTAGTTATTTCTTCAGTTTGGCAGGTCCCAGGGTGACTGTGCAGTTCATCCTGTCCGCTGTGGCCAGGAGAAAGCATTTTTGGACTTTCCAGTGTTTAAATTTGGCCTAATGTACGTTGTGTTTATTATATATAGAAAAAGACCTAGCATTGTTGACAGGCAGCTCTTTTGTCATTAGGGTTTGCTGATATCCCAACGGGAAAGACAAGCCCCTTTATCCTGAGAAGAACCACCATGGCAACAAGGACGAGCCCTCGCCTTGCAGCCCAGAAGTTACCACCATTTCTCCCAAATCTTCACAAAGAAAACCAGGCTGAGATGTCCAAACCAACAGCTGGTGGCAGCAGGTCACAGAAGGTACGTCCTGTGAACAAGTGTCTGCTGCTAGAAAGCCAGGCGATGACAGGGTTCTCGGGAGGAGGGTGTGACACCAGGCCCCTGCCGCGGGGGCTACTGAACGTCTGTCCTTCCTCTCCACGAGGGACAGAGCGGTCCGCGGTGAGCAGCCCTGAGGCTCCACGGTACGTGATCCTGCTGCAGTCTTGCCCTTGTCCCAGCAGGCCACGTACACAGTTTGATGGGAAATGGCCCCGTGAGATTGAACTCAGAGGCCTTGGAAGGAAGTTCCGGCATTAACTTTGAAGGAGTGGAAGACATGGTTTTGTTTTGGCCTTGGTGGTGGATGTTCTGTCCTTTTTCCTCTCACCCCGATGCCCATTCTTCACTCTTCCTCAGTGCTTTCCTTTGTACAGAAAGCACTCGTTTCACGAGGTGTCGAAAGTGGGGAGCTGTTTATGGATTTCGCTCTTTTGCTTGTTGTGGGCGAGGCCCTCGGTGATGCCTGTGTGCCTCGCGCACAGCCCGGCAAATGTTTAACACCTAGAGAATATTTGCTCGGCGAGTCTTTGTAGCATTACTGTCATGAGATCCACCACCTGCAGCTGCCATCTTGATCCACGGTGTGTATGCCTTGTGTTGAACGTTCCCATTTTACTTGATCACTTTATTGAACTCTCACTGTAAGGTGAATCATAAAAGGAAGAGGAAAGGAAGACTCAGGCATTTAACGTGCAGGGTTATTGCCTTCTCTCTCTCTTGGTGCCGCAGCCTTGGTTTCCTCTCAGTGTTTTGCTAACTGGGGCTCACAGGAATGTTGTTTCAAGTTGCCAGAACAGCTTCAAGAATTGTGAAGCTTTTGAGACGTTTCGCTGGCTGGAGTTGTTGTATGGCATCGAAGCAACTTGAACTGGCGGATGAAGCTTTGAAAGTGTCATGACACATATTCATATGATGCAATCATTCTTAAGTGAGCAGGTGTTTAGGATTTTGGTGACAAACTACAGTGAAATTGGTGATTAGCTGAATCAAAACAAGGGCATATTTGCCAACTTGTTTGTTGATGTATAAGAGGTTTAAGTATTAAGGAATTTATACCTAGTAGTAGTAAGTTTGTCCATAACTGAGGTTACAATAACATTCTTTTCAATCCTGGGGTGAGGAGAAAGTTCAGAAATTTCCATTCACTCATCAAAGTCAACTGTGCATTACTTGTATTAGGAATATTGTACCATTCTGAGCAATGTTTTCTCCTCCCTCATCAATTCCCTCCTACCTTCCATCGTCCCTTCTTCCCTTCCTTTTAAATTTAACTTTTGGTGGCTGGTAACAACATGACCCTGGGGAGAGTGTCCTGGGGCAGCTCCTGACGTTCCCGTGACGATTGAAACAGCTTCTTTCCCAAAGAGCATCGAGAGCTTCTGAAGAGCGCGGCGTCGAAGGTTCCCCAGAGCTGGGAAGCATCAGATGACCCCTGACCTGCCACCCAGGAGTCAGGCTTCGGTGCTGGAGGAGGCCGGGCCATCTCCAGAGGTGGGCGACTGGGAGCTGCCCTTCCTGCGCAGTCCACGCCGAGAGCTCTCTGCTGCTCTCCCCCTGACAGGGATCAAGTGCGGTATTTGGCTCTGAAAGCAGGAGATGGTGACACAGGGAGTAAGCACCCTGCCTGCGTCGTTTCCGGCCAGTTCCCTTTGGACTAATGACTTGCTCAAAAGTCTCCCTTCTGAGTTGCAAGAGGAGTTTCTGTGAGGTTCCCGATTAGAGGCAGTTTACCTGTGTCGCCCCGTCATGCAACGCCTGGCATTCAACAGATCCTTGTTAATGAACAGAGCTGTTGATGTTGTCCTGAAGTGACTGTGATATTAAATAGGTGTTTTAAAAGTGCGTTAGGAAATCATCTCATGCGATCCCCTCACAGGTCTTTTCTTCCCTCTTCCTTTTTGAGGAGCTGACGGTAAAGCAGTTGGCCTGTGGAGGTCAGATCCTTGTCTCAGAAAGAAGGCTTTGCACACTAGGGGGCCCGCTCTCCACACTGTTGTTGAATCCATGAGTGCCCAGTCCTCCCCGTGGCGTCCTGCATACCTGTGACCACTGCAGGAGCAGCAGGCGCCAGGAGACACCAGCAGTGAGGAATCGCTAAGTAGATTTGTGCACGTGCGCAATTGAATGGGCCTCCTCTGGACAGGAGGTAATGGGAGACGTTGGGGTTAGATGCCGACTTCAAAACGCAGCTGATTGAACTTCCATTTAATCAGGGTTTTCTGAGTCGCCTTATCAAATGCTTGGCCCCTCTGTTAAGCATATTTCCTCATTCAGATTGAAAAATATAGAGGAAGGTATCGTTTTTCTGAGAAGGTCACTTAGAAACTCAAGGGTACAGCCATTGCCTGAAGTGACCGGCTTGAGTTTTGCGCAAGACAGTGCCACATGACAAGTTCCAAGGGGAAAGTAGGTGGAATGCATGTTCGGTGAGGAGCATTCTCTGGGACGAAGAAAACACTGGGCTCCTCGTTGCAGGGACAAGGGAGTGTGGTGTGTGCAGACTTGGCCTGAATCTGGGGTAGGTCAGTACGGGCGGATTGGCCACTGAATGGCAGAGGCTGATGGTGACGCCGTCACCACAGCAAGTGTCTGTGAGCAGCTTCGTGGGGCTTTGTGTGTCCTCCCGACTAATGGGGCTCAGTTGCTCTGAGCCCGCCGCTTCCTCGTCCTCTCCCGCTGTGGCCTCAGGTGTAGTTTCTGAGACAGGGTTTGGGTGGACCTGAGAGTTGAAGGACCTGGTGAGTTTGAGCTCCCCTTGTGATGCACAGGAGTGAGGCGAGCTAACCAGCCTGAGCATCAGATCCATAGTTGAAACCCAGGCCACCGAGCAGAATTTGCTCCATTCAGCGTCAGAGAAGCAGAGTCTCAAGGCGAGGGAAGTCCAGGGATGGACTTTGTCTATGTAATTGGGGTTAAGTCAGAGTTTTCCTAGCTCAAATTCTCTTTCCCGGAGGGATCTTTCTTGCCGTCTCTTTTTCTGGAGAACCTAAAGATTTGATTCTCAAGCATGTGACGGGTTCAAGGGAAGTGCCTGTTTTTCTTTGCGCTTCTACTTTGAAAGACAAGAAAGAGGACTAGTCAAGCTGTTTTTGTCCATCAACTTCCCTTGGACCGTAATTTCTGATGCCATCCTGATCCTGATCCTTCCAAGCTGCTGTCCCTTTTAAGGGCCCTGCATGTAATCTGAGGTCAAGGCAGGCTTTCCAGGGATATGCTGTGCTGTGCACATGCTGTTTTCTGTCATGCAAAGTATTTAGCTGCCTTTGAAAACCACATACTTCCTATGGTAGGAATATAAATGGGGGAATAATTTCCATTCTTTCTTCCTGCTGCCTCACCAAGAGGTCATTGGCAGTCACTTTCTCGGGAAGTGATCTGTCACAGCGCTGCCTCAGGGGCCCGGACTGGGCCCTTGTTGCTCTTGGTAGAGCGCCTGTCTTCTGTGTTTTGTTTTGTTTTGTTTTGTTTTGTTTTGTTTTCCAGATCTTTCTACTCGAGTCTCCCACTGATTCCTTGATCTTTGGTTAGTGCAGCTTTTGTGTACTTCCTCTGTCTTGTTACTTTCTCTCTTTGGATCCCTGATCTTCTTTCACTATTATGTAAACATGAGAGAAAGTCTTGACACTCATCTGCTGCTTATCGCCCTACGTTTTCTGAGACCCTTGAAGGCAGGACATCAGGGGATTTGCTGTCCCCTGACTTTACTATTGTATAGTGGCCCTTCTGCCCTAATGCAAGCCCAACATGCAAACGACAAAACAGTGAAATGAGAATGATTAAAATGTTACATGAGAAAATGTTTCAGGCGGTAGTTCTCTTCGATGTTGTAAATAAGACTTACACCCTAGGAAGGCAGTGTCATTTATTTAGATTATATTCCTTTGAATGACAGCATTGGCAAAAGCAGGATAAATGGAGGGTGGTTTGGATTTTCTCTATAGGTTCGCGTTGAACGTTTCTGAGGTAGTCGGGGGACGCAGTGGTGGGGAAGCCATAGTCTTTGCCCTCAAGGAGCTTCCCTCTGGTCTGACAGTGTCACACTGGCCTTGGGAGCACGTCTCGGCCTATCACAGGTGTTGAGGAAGGTTTGTAAGGTGCCTTGTTAGAGTCCTTGTCATACGTCTTAGTAGCTCTCCGGTGGGACCTGCCCTCGGGTAAGAAGAAGGGGTAACGCTGTGTGTGGCTCCTAGGGAAGAGGAATCTAACTTCCAGTTTGATGACAAAGTATTTTGCATGGTGTGGGAATGTGAATGTGAAGGGAGCCTCTAACAAAGATGCTTGTGTTGCAGGTCAAGGTCGCTCAACAAAGCCCTGCAGATTCGGACACCGTCTTCCATGATCCCTCTGCGAGACCACTCTCAGCCAATAACCTCCCTAAGAGACAGTGGGCTGGCAGCCCCAGGGAGGGCCTGAGGTCCAAGCGAGGCTGCCTCACACCCAGCCTGGAAGCTGATATGGAGTCCCACGAGAACTGTCAGATCCAGTAGAAGAGGCCTTGTGGGTTAGGGCCTTTGCCAGGGGTTGTCGTTGGGTAGAACGCAGTGTGCCAACAGTGGCTTGTCCTTAATCTGGGACACATTCTCAGTAGGAACAAAGCAGTTTCTCCAAAATCGAAATATCTTGTACCCTTTAGCTCTCCTGTTTGACGTATTGGAAAAGTGTCGAATCCCTGGTCACCTACCTCATTGATGTTCCTCCTCAGCATTGTACATAGTAATGTTTGGGAACGGTACACTTGAGCAGCAAGCACTGTAGTATAACTTCTGTTTGTGTGTGTGGATTTTACACTAAAAAACATGCAAAACATTTTCTACTCTCAAAGAACAGTTGCCGGGAAAATGCACACTTGCTTTGTGCTTTTTCTTATGTATAGCACCAGACATGAAATAGTTTGAGAGCGAGAACATGTGGATACTTCCATGTAAATAGACTACAAACACCCGTGTGCACAAGCACAGCAAAGCCACCCTCAATGTCCTTTCTTCCCTCCGCCTCCTGCCTAGGAGACTCCTCACGCCACCCAAGGGTGTGGGTGGAAAAACTTACGTTGTGCTAAGTAGCTCTCTGGCATCATGAAGAAATGGCATTACCTGTCTACCTCTACTGCAGTAACTTTACAGTTGGAAAAAGCACTTATTAGCAAGCAACCATTCCCGTCACCCTCGGCGACCTCCAGCTGAAGATTTGCTCAGCTGCTGCCTGGGCCAGAGCCAGCCCGGGCCTCTGGAGGCAGGATGCCCTGTGTGCGGACGGCTCCCCCGGCGCGGGGCTGCCTGCAGCCTGCAGGGTGTGAGCACAGCAGGAGCAGGGGGTAGATGCCCGGTGCCTCAGTTCTCAAGCTGGACTCTTGGCTCTTAAAGGCTGAAAGCTTCAACAGGAACAATGTCTGACAAATGCATCTCTCATAAATACAGCAAATGTTACACAGAATGAACTTAGTGTGAAAGGCTCCCTCCGCTCTCTCGACTTATACCTAGGTTTCAGAACGTTAAGGATTTCAAACTTCCCTGGGAAAAAAATCACCACCTACTGGAATCTTTGTACACAAATTAAAAAAAAAAAAAAAAGGAAAAAATCTGTGGGAAAAGAACACACATCTGTTCTTCCAGTAGGTTGTAAGAGGGCAGGAGCCAACAAAGTTTTATACAGCTTTTGTAACCCCAAATCCATCTGCACTACAATTAACATGTTCTCTGACTCAGCAATACCACTTTTGGATAACTCACTGGAAACAAAAGCAGCGAATCTTAAGGGTTATATAAAAGATCAACAAACACCCTGAATATCCATAGTGGAGTAATGGCCAAAGAAATCTTGGCATAGATATTACTTAGGGTATTACGTCATTATTAAACATTAGTTGGGTCTAAATCTGCTGACTCAGAGCGATGCCCATGGTGTGCTGGTAAGAGGGAAAAGCTGCGGAGTAACACGTAAGGCAAGCAAAAGCCAACCCAGTCATCTTTCGTGTGTCTGTGCTTACTGGCTTGAGGAAAAGTGTGGAACACGTCCATCCTCGGAGGGAGGAATAGGATGCAGAAACCTCCACCCTGCCCCTGTGCAGCCTTTGGAGTATTAATGTATCAGGAAAAAAAATTATTTTAAACCACTTATCTCTGCCTTTTCTTAATATTGTATATATGGAATAAACCTTCCCTTAGGAGCAGTATTATATATCATTTTTGTTACAATTATTTCAGAGTGATTCACATGCATTCTATCATTTTATCCTCACAATCCCCATTTACAGAACACAGACTATAATCTAGGCAACATCCCAAAGCTAGCGGGGGGCAGAGGCTGCCTCCAAAGCCCAGTCCTTCACCCAACATCCAGTCTGCAGGAAACAGTGTCCTCTCTTTGGGTAGCAATGTCCCACCCCCACAGCCTCAGAAGCGGCAGTTCTGAGGAGTGCCTTGCAGGGACAGAGCATGCTGCCTTCCATAAGTGGTAACTATGGAAATGAGTTGGCCCCAACATCAAATGACTGTACTTATATTTACATATCATTTCCTCAAAAATAATTATTCACTCAGCATAGGCTACTGATTATGGGGAAATCCCAGATAACAAGTACAGATGCCCTCTCTGCCCACCAAGTCCTGGCAAATGCTGGGTAAGGACAAAAACGAAGAGCCATGGATATGATTGGACACTGGGAAAAGTTCAGCCCAGATGGAGGCAAAGGCGAGAAACCAGGAATGGACGAAGATGCACACCAACCACCTGGAGACTGTTTCAGGGCCCAGAATATGCCCCAAAAGGAAAGAAGGAAGATGGCAAAGGTATGTGACTCAAGAAGAAACAAAGAGCTTCAAGTATGGATGTGTTTGGGCTAAATGTTATGTCCAAACATTTTATTTTCATAAATGCAGTATTTGAAACAAGCAATGGGAGGTCCAAACAAATATGGCACGAGACAAGAAAAAAAATGAAAATGTTCTATCTTACTGTTACATGGAACATTAAAATAATATATATGTAAGCCAATAGTTGAGCCATGCTCGTTATTTCACAAGCACACTGCTACATTAAATCCGATTGGTAAATGAGGATTCTAATACAGCACCCTAAGTAGGCAAGTAATAAAAAGTCAAGATTTCCTTCTACTACCTGTGCCTAAATGCTCTCAGAAAAAAATGCTCTAATTTGGAAAAAACATAATGGCACTTAGTCACTTCTCTACAGAGTTAAGAATTTTTAGATGGTGGCTAATCACAGCAAAGAGAAAAATGACTCAAGGTGACCATACCTGGATGGCTCGTTTCAGGAACAACCGTCACTGTTGAGACGTCTCCTTTAAATATACTTAAATCTCTCCTGCTAATTTTACCTATTTCTCCTTAAAGTCTTTCACCTTGAAAAGGGCACCTGGGACCCATGCCCTCTACCTCCCGCCTACATGCATTTAACACTCTCACTGTGACACTTCCCAAGGGCCTCAACCTAAACATTCCTGCCCGGCTTACCGTCTCTTAGGTACTTGTACATCGCCCTTTGATTTTCTCTGTGGGTCCTGACTAACTCTAAGTTCTCTTTGTGTTTTAGTTGCAAAACTGAAATGAGACAAGTTGTCTCTAAAACTTAACTCATTAAGATGGGCTTATTATTCAACAAAACATGGAGCACATGAGGCGGACTTTACCATAAAAACCTCTTGAAGAAAAAACTCTCACTAGAGTAAGACACCCAAAGAAAATGTAATCCCAATCTTAGGTGTGTCAGAAAATAAAAAATAGGACAAAGGTAAAACAAGATGGGTTTGGAGTATTTTCCAGAACACTCAGAAGTAGAAGAGCGGTGGCTTTCAGAGCTGCGCGCAGTAATTTGCTCTTTCCCTCTCCTGTACACCTACTTTGGCCTGCTCACTGGCTGTCAAAAATGGTGAAAGAAACCACTTACTATGATGTTTTGGGGGTCAAACCCAATGCCACCCAGGAAGAATTGAAAAAGGCCTTGAAGTTCTACCCTCATAAGAATCCAAATCAAGGAGAGAAGTTTAAGCAGATTTCTCAAGCTTACGAAGTGCTATCTGATGCAAAGGAAAGGCAATTTATGACAAAGGAGAACAGGCAATTAAAGAAGGTGGTTTTGGCTCCCCCGTGGACATCTTTGATATGGTGTTTGGAGGAGCAGGAAGGTTGCAGAGAGAAAGGAGAGGTATAAAAATTTTGTGTATCTTCTAAGTAACCTTAGAAGATGTATTTAATGGTGCAACAAGAAAACTGGCTCTGCAAAAAAATGTGGTTTGTGACAAATGTGAAGGCCAAGGTGGTAAGAAAGGAGCAGTACATTGCTGTCCCAATTCCTGAGGTACTGGGATGCAAATAAGACCTCATCAGATAGGACCTGGAATGGCTCAGTAAATTCAGTCTGTGTGCATGGAGTGCCAGGGCCATGGGGAACAGATCAGTCCTCAAGACAGGTGCAAAAAGCTGCAATGGAAGGACGATAGTTCGAGAGAAGATTCTAGAAGTTCAAATTGAAAAAGGCATGAAATGTGGCCAGAGGATAACATTCTATGGTGAAGGAGACCAAGAACAAGGACTGGAGACTGGCGATATTATCGTTATTTTAGATCAGAAGGACCATACTGTTTTCATTTGGCGAGGAGAAGACCTTTTCATGTGTATGAGCATACAGCTGGTTGAAGCATTGTGTGGCTTCCAAAAGCCAATAACTACTCTTGACAACCAAACCATAGTCATCACCTCTCATCCAGGTCAGATTGTCAAGCGTGGAGATGTTAAGTGTGTGCCAAATGAAGGCATGCCAATTTCTCATACACCATATGGAAAGGGCTGCCTAACCATCAAAAGTTTAAGGTATACTTTCCTGAGAGTGCCTTTCTCTCTCCTGATAAACTGTCTTTGCTGGAAAAATTCCTACCTGAAAGGGAGGAAATAGAAGAGACTGTTGAAAGGGACCAGGTAGAACTGGTGGGCTTTGATCCAAATCAAGAAAGATGATGCCTTTACAATGGAAAAGCATGTGAGGATAATGAACCTCACCCTAGGGGTGGTGTTCAGGGGTGGTGTTCAGGTTGTGGCCTCTTAATGAGGCCAGTGAATGACACGCACTGCTGGCATTTTACATACAGTAGTGATTGAGTGAAGCACTGTAATCATAATATGCCACTACTTGTGATTGGTTTTGGTTTATTATTCAACTATAGTAGTGTTTTAGAAGTTAAATGAAGAATAAACTCAAAATAAAGACATGGGTCTAGAATATCTATGTTTAATTCCTTGCTCTGTGTGGGGACTTTAATCTAGTCAATTAGAAAATTTGGAGCTAGAGGTTGGGAGATTGCAGAGTTTAAGTCGCAAAATAAAGCTGGAGCCAATGGGTGGATATGTTAACGAGGCAGTAACGTTTTCGCATTAAATGTCAAAGGCAGGAAGGGAACTGGACTTGGTAACATCTGCATTGCACTCCCATATGCACTGTCCCAAGTAGAAGGAATCAGGGAATAATACCTAGTTTG